CACTTCACCAACAAGGAAACTAAGGCTAATTAAAGTAACTCATTCACTGAATGGCCACACAGCAAGGCAACGCCAGAGCCACATCAGAACCCAGGTAACTGAAAGCTGTTCATCATTAACTATTCCATGAAATTTCATTTTCCTTTCCCAATTTTAAATAAAACAGCTCAAATTAAGTTTTCTTAGAAATTTCTGAAATTGGCTTAAAGAAGAGTGGTAATATAGGTTTGAATGAATCATTTAAAAGTTAAGGATACTGGCCGGCATTGTGGCATAGCTGGCGAAGCTGCCTCCTGCAATGCCAGCATCCCACATGAACACCAATTTAAGACCTGGCTGCTACCCTTCTGATCCCTCTCCCTACTAATATACCTGGGAAAGCAGAAGATGGCCCAGGTGTTTGGGCTCCTGCACCCACATGGGAGACTTGGAATAAACTCCTGGGTCCTGGCTTCAGCCTGGCCCAAGCCTGACTATTGTGGCCATTTTGGGAGTGAACCAATGGATGGAAGATCTCTATCCCCCATCTCTCTGTAACTCTGCCTTTCAAATGCATAAATATATAAGTCTTTAAAAAAATAGTAAGGATGACTAAAAGGTGAGGGGGAAGAGAGACAGGGAGAGAAATCAGATTTAAGAAAATTAAGGAAGGAAATAGAAACTTTTTTTTTCTTTTGCCTCATGTGTTTTTTTTAACTTTTATTTAATGAATATAAATTTCCAAAGTACAGAATATTGATTACAATGGCTTCCCCCCACCCCCCGATGACTTCCCTCCCACCCGCAACCCTCCCCTTTCCCGCTCTCTCTCCCCTTCCATTCATATCAAGATTCATTTTCAATTTTCTATATATACAGAAGATCAGTTTAGTATACATTAAGTAAAGATTTCAACAGTTTGCACCCACATAGAAACACAAAGTGAAAAATACTGTTTGAGTACTCATTATAGCATTAAATCTCAACGTACAGCACATTAAGGACAGAGATCCTACATGAGGAGTAAGTGCACAGTGACTCCTGTTGTTGACTTTACAAATTGACACTCCTGTTTATGGCATCAGTAATCTCCCTATGCTCCAGTCATGAGTTTCCAAGGCTATGGAAGCCTTTTGAGTTCTCCGACTCTTATCTTATTTAGACAAGGTCATAGTCAAAGTGGAAGTTCTCTCCTCCCTTCAGAGAAAGGTACCTCCTTCTTTGAAGACCTGTTCTTTTTTTTTTTTTATCTTTTATTTAATGAATATAAATTTCCAAAGTACGTCTCATGGGTTACAATGGCTTTCCCCCCCATACCGTCCCTCCCACCCACCACCCTCCCCTTTCCCACTCCCTCTCCCCTTCCATTCACATCAAGATTCATTTTCGATTATCTTAATATACAGAAGATCAGCTTAGTATACCTTAAGTAAGGATTTCAACAGTTTGTTCCCACACAGAAACATAAAGTGAAAAATAATAGATGATTTTTTTTTAAATGATGATGAAATCAGATCAGACCTATTGTCATGTTTAATCCCAGTGAGAGTCAAGTTGGGAATTGATAGTTTCTTTTTCTTTTTTTTTTTTTTTTTTACAGAAGATCAGTTTAGTGTACATTAAGTAAAGATTTCAATCGTTTGCACCCCCATAGAAACACAAAGTGAAATATACTGTTTGAGTACTCGTTATAGCATTAAGCCTCAGTGTACAGCACATTAAGGACAGAGATCCTACATGAGGAGTAAGTGCACAGTGACTCCTGTTGTTGACTTTACAAATTGACACTCCTGTTTATGGCATCAGTAATCTCCCTATGCACCAGTCATGAGTTTCCAAGGCTATGGAAGCCCCTTGAGTTCTCCGACTCTTATCTTGTTTAGACAAGGTCATAGTCAAAGTGGAGGTTCTCTCCTCCCTTCAGAGAAAGGCACCTCCCTCTTTGAAGACCTGTTCTTTCCACTGGGATCTCACTCACAGAGATCTTTTTGCCAGAGTGTGAAGACCTGTTCTTTCCACTGGGATCTCACTCAGAGATCTTTCATTTAGGTTTTTCGTTTCTGTTTTTGTTTTTGTTTTTTTTTTTGTTTTGTTTTGTTTTGTTTTTTGTTTTTTTGTTTTTTTGCCAGAGTGTCTCGGCTTTCCATGCCTGAAATACTCTCATGGGCTTTTCAGCCGGATCCGAATGCCTTTAGGGCTGATTCTGAGGCCAGAGTGCTGTTTATGTGGGGAGCAATCCGGACTAGACTGTTACTGGAATTAAGACTTATTCTATGCATCTGCTCTCCCACAATATGGCGCTGGGAGAGAAGTAAACAGCTTCCGCACAGCTGCCTCGAGTTCAACTAATGAGCTGTAGGACTTGCTCCTGATTGGAGGAGAGCAGCGTACTCGGCGTGTGGGCAGCCGAGTTGGGATTGGCGGAGGAGGACTATAAAGGAGGAGAGAGACGGCATGCACCAGGAACATCTATGGGGAACATCTAAGGGAACCCGTGCAGCCCCCGAAAGAGCCGGCTGGCGGTGTGCCGCTCCCCTGCGGAAGTGGGGAATGTGGCCAGGGGGAACTGCCCTTCCACGGAGGTGGAAGGGATAGTAGCCAACCCGGGAAGAACCAGCAGCAAACCCGGGGAGGGCCGAGCAGACAGAAAGAACAGCGCAGGGTCCTGTGTTGCTCCTCCACGAAGAGGGGGAGCGACAGTTTAAGACATCCGCCATTCTATGAGTCTTCTGTGTGTCTCACTTCCCATGTTGGATCGCTCTCCCCTTTATTTATTCTATCGGTTAGTATTAGCAGGCACTAGACTTGTTTATGTGATCCCTTTGACTCTTAGTCCTTTCATTATGATCAATTGTGAACTGAAATTGATCACTTGGACTAGTGAGATGGCATTGGTACATGCCACCTTGATGGGATTGAATTGGAATCCCCTGGTATGTTTCTAACTCTACCATTTGGGGCAAGTCAGCTTGAGCATGTCCCAAATTGTACATTTCTTCCCTCTCTTATTCCCACTCTTATATTTAACAGGGATCACATTTCAGTTTAATTTTAACACTTAAGAATAACTGTGTATTAATTACAGTATTAAGTAGTATTAAGTAGAACAGACAAAAAAATACTAAGAGGGATAATGTATTAAGTTGTTCATTAACAGTCAGGGCTATGCTGATCAAGTCACCATTTCTCATAGTGTCCAGTAAATAGAAACTTAAGATCATATTATGTCCAGTGTTTGAAGATAACTGCTAAACTTCCCAACTTCTTTTCTTCCTGTCTTTTTACCATCTCCTGTATTTCCCATGCTCATTTCTGCCACAAAGCTTTTGGTTCTTGACAAATTTCCTAGATTTCTTCTTAACCTACCCAAATGCTAATGAGGCTTTGAGGTTCACTATAAATTCAGCTGTATCCCACACTATTCTTTTTGAGCTTGAAACATGAACTGTAATATTTAGCTACACATTGGTCAGTCTTTGTCTTTGACCCCTTATAAAGTTGCCAAGTTGGTGTGGCCTTCACTCTGAAGCTTCGAAGCTTCGGGACCTGACATTGTGTCTTTTCTGCTACTGTTGATGTGAAGCCTCTCTAAATTCCAGGAACCCAGTTTTCTCTGCAGTCACCCCTTCTCATAACCCATCCCTGTTTCTGAAACCGCTGAGAGTTTCATGTTTCAGTTGCCTTTATATCAACTTTAATCTGGCCCATACCTGGAACAGTTTGTGATTCAATCAACTGATGCTGCCATGAGATATGCTGATGGCCCTTTTTTTGTGCTCTTCCTTGAAGGTTTCTTAACCCTTAGAAATTTCTAAAAATTAGATATTCAGGCCTGTCTGGGAGACAGCTAGATCTTAATATTCCTTAACAAAGGCTAGTCTTTAAAAATAGAACAGGAAAGGAGAATATGGGGACACAGTCTCTTTGCATTTGAGAAAGGAATCTTTATCTGTTAGGTTCTCCTCCCATCTACACCTATTCCCCGCCAAATTCATCTGGGAGCTTGAGGACCAGGCTATTCGAACTCTATAAAGGAAAACAGTTGTCACGCAGGGGAATCTTGACCCTGGACATGAGGCAGTCTTTAGGACAACAGGATAATCTCATGCTCCATCCACTTCCTAATTGATTCATCACATCTTTGATGAACACCTGCTACTTACTGAATGCTGCAGATACAAAGGGAGGCAAGCAAGTATCCCTGAAGGTAAGGCATTTATGGTGGTGGTGGAAGGTGGGGGGCCGGGGATTAGTAGGTAGTTTAGATAAAGTGGATTAAGTCTCAAATCAAGGGATGACACAGGAGCTATTGGAATACATAAAAGAAGATAGATAGATAGATAGATCAGTCCTGAGGATATTACAAAAAGCTATGGAGGGGAAGCAATGACTTGATGAAACCAAAGATCAGTGAGGAATTAGCCAGAGAGAGGTATTTGGGGAAAGCATTTGTGCAAATGCTTAGAAAAGAAAGAAAATGGCACATCTTGGGAGCTGCAGTCTGGTTTCATCTGAAGGAAGCACATGATCTCACAGGAAAATAAACTGGAGAAGTAAGATCAGATCTAAATGCCTTAAAGTACTACTTCCTTGTCTTAGAAATGCTTTGATTATCTAAACTAGAAATCAAAAGTTCAATCACCTATTGAACTGCTTACCACTCAACTTAGTAAATCAAAGCACAATGACTTATGGGTATAAGTAAATATCTGTAATTAGATATGTAAGTGGTAGGTTTTCCTGTTTACATAGAATAGTTATTCTCTGTGTTTAAAGAATTAAAAGGGGATCAGTAATCAATAGTTTTAAAGTAAGTTACTTAGAAGTAGTACCTTTTTTTAAAAAAAGATTTATTTATTTGAAAGGCAGAGTTACAGAGAGGGAGGGAGGGAGAGAGAGAGAGAGAGAGAGAGAGGCCTTTTATCTGCTGACTCACTCTCCAATTGGCCACCAATGCCCAGAACTGCACCAATCCGATGCCAGGAGCTCCTTCTGGATCTCCCACATGGGTGCAGAGGCCCAAGGACTTGGGCCATCTTCTGCTGCCTTCCCAGGCCATAACAGAGAGCTACATTGGAAGTGGGGCACCCAGAACTCCAACCAGCGTTCATATGGGATGCCAGCACTGCAGGTGCAGCCCCACCTGCTATGCCAGTGTCGGCCCCTAGAAATAGTATCTTAATATTACCACAGGAGCATAACTCCTAGGAAAAGTATTAAATGAGACAGGAAAGGTAACAGTAAATAATGAGATACTATAGTAGATAATACAAGTATGGCACAGTAACAATAGTCGAAAATAAATTTACTTACTTCTCAAACACCACACACATGCACACAAGGTCTTAACGGTTAAAATAATAACAGGTATATTTGGGCCAGCGCTGTGGTGCAGCAGGTTAAAGCCCTGGCCTGAAGCGCAGGCATCCCATATTGCCCCCGGTTCTAGTCCTGGCTGCTCCTCTTCCAACCCTGCTATGGCCTGGGATAGCAGTGGAGGATGGCCCAGGTCCTTGGGCCCCGGTACCCACGTGGGAGACTCAGAAGCTCCTGGCTCCTGGCTTCAGTTCGGGGCAGCTCTGGCTGCTGTGGCCATCTGGGGAGTAAACCAGCGGATGGAAGACCTCTCTCTCTGTCTCTGCCTCCCTGTGTAACTCTTTCAAATAAATAAAATATATCTACAAAAATAAATAAATAACAGGTGTATTGCAGTCTACCCTCACACAAGATGTTACTTATTTGAAACCTGGGAGAAACAGCGTTTGTTTTATTGCTGGAAATTTTAGATCAGCTCAAAATTGGACGTGAAAACGGTAGCCTTTTAGGGAACAATTCAACAGCACTGCCTGGCCTTGGCCCTCGTGAAATACGTGCTTCCACGAAAAAGAACTCTTGATGAGGAGGAAGGGTGGCGATCAGATAGTGTCCGGAAGCGTCAGATTCCTCTGCTACACGTGCGCCCGAAAGCCTCCTTCCATGATGCGCCACCCCCATGAATATCATGAATATTCTGCCCCAGGAGTCTTTCTCCAGAGAAGCTGTTTGCCAAGCCGCTTTTAGAGACCCATCTCCTTTCTTTGTTTTTGTTTTTGTCTTTGTCAGATTCTCGTGGAAAAAATATATTCAGGCGTAGGTATTATTAAGCAAGGCCGTAGATACGGAAACGCGACCTACAAGCCTAAGCGAGAGACTAAGTGTGAGCTCCCGGGCACCCGTAGGTCGGAGTCTCCGGATGAGACCCGGAACCGGAAGTGTGCGTTCCGTGGCGGCTTCCTCTCCGGGAACAGAAATTCGCGCGGCTCCCTGAAAGTGGAAAAACACCGGGAGTCCGGGGCCATGGCGGCAGTGGGCCCTCCCGCGGCGGCGGGGAGGTTCGTGGTGGTCGGGGGCGGCATCGCGGGCGTGACCTGCGCGGAGCAGGTAAGGCGGGAGCCAGGGCGCGCCGCCGCCTCCGCGACCCCACGGCGGAGGCCCTGCTCTCTCCTGACCCCGGGTTTGTCACTGCTTCCGGGTCCCCTCGGCCGCGCCGCGTCCCTGCGCCCCCACCCGCTAGGAGCTGGGAGGGAACCGACCCGGCTCTGAGCCCTTTGCAGAGCGCGGGCGGGGTCTGTGTGCCGGGACGGAATGTTCAGCCCCGTTTCCTGGTTCCTGGACCTTGTTCAGTTTCCACGGAGCTGTCAGATACTATTTCTGACTCGTGAGGAAACGCCCGCGCACGTTTCCCGTGCTTTGAACTCCGAAGGAAGGGAGACTTCGTAGCTAGTAGCACTTGGTAAAACAGCCAGCGAGGGTCGAAAACAGGGAGTCTGTTTCTGACCGGATCGTATCTGTCCACATAGATGTGCGTTTCCCCCAAAATATCAAAAGTGTCCTGTTGATACAACGCAGGCAATCCTTGAAGTCATACATAGTGCAAGAAACCCAGAGGTGTTTTGTAACGTACATCTTCGCATGCGTATTGTCCGGGTGTTCACGCTTAGGATCCCTGCCCTGTGTTGAGGGCAGAGTTGTGAATGTAAACAGAGCGTGCCTGGTGCGGACACCCTGAGTGTCTGGGACTTGGTCTCGTGGGAGAGACATGATAGATCTTGTCTTCGGTGTGCTGTTAGCTTAGGGGTGCCTGTGGCGTTGGTAGGGAGTGAGTGGAGGCAGAGCTGTCTTTTCTCACAGGCGGTGTCCTTTTATCTGTGGAAGTTGACAAGGCAGGAGGAGGTAGAGCACTGCGCAGGGAGGCGGCAGGAGTCTCCAGTGGAAAAGCGTCACCCGGAGCCGCAAACCAGGCGCCCGACCATGAAGGGTCTAATCCATGATGCCGAAGAGTTACGGATTGACAAATAGCCGGATGATTGTGAGCAGTGGAGTAAAGCGAGCAAATGGAAGGCTTTGGAAGATGAGATGTGTTGACTCTTTAGGACAGAAGCAGTGTGGTAGGTAGTGGTATATGAGGCTGGGAAGCGGATGTGAAGATGAGTTTTCAGTAGCACAGTTCTGGGGACCTGATCTAGCAGTGCAAGTTGAAAGAAGAGAGAAAAATTAAAAACACATACAAGGCGAAAAATGGAGAGAATGATTATTGTCAAATACTGAAGAAAATTCAGATAAAAAGGAATCCCCCGTGGGGCTGGCATTGTGGTGCAGCAGGCTAAAACCTTGGCTTGCCACGTACCCCATATGGGCACTGGTTTGGTGCCAGCTGTTCCAGTTCTGATCCAGCTCCCTGCTAATGCACCTGGGAAAGCAGCAGAGGATAGCCCAAGTCTCAGGGCCCTGCACCCATGTGGGATACCCAGAAGAAGCCTGACTTCAGCCTGGCCCAGCCCTGGCCGTTGTGGCCATTTGTGGAGTGAACCAGGGGATGGAATATCTCTGTTTCTCCTGGTCTCTCTCTGTGTAACACTGTCTTTCAAATAAAATAAATCACTCTTTCAAAAAGTAATACTCCCATGAGTTTTAAGGGTATATAGGTGACGTGACTATGCTCGGTGTTAGTGGCAGGGTGGGGGTAAGCCAGGTTACACTTGGTGGAGTTAGGGAGCCAGAATGTGAAATCAGAAAGTGCTTTCAGTAACTCCGAAGTGAGAATGAGAGAAGTTACAGCAGGAAGAAAGCAGTGAAACATTAGCAAGTTAGGTGTCTGCATTTTTTTTAAAGTTAGTATTAAAGTAGCTTCATATTCCCAGAGTGTACTGGTTGGAGGAGGCAGCAGAGGAGTGCCAAAGCACTTGGGAAAAATCAGAGTAAGATTCTAGTGTTTAATATTGAGAGCGTAATTTTATCCTGTTGAAGGAAAATGCAAATATTATTTTAAATAGAAGTTGGTGCAGCTATAAAGAAGGAAGGTCATTTTTATCACGTCTTGCTCAGGATGTCTTTGTTAGTGTGTAGTGTAAATGTAATATTCATTTGACCAATATCAGAATTTAACATTACTCACCAATGCTCCATAAGTATGAATAAGACCCAGCATAGTGGGTTTTTTTAAATTTCCTAGGTTAATAACATTATTAAGATTGCATTATCCTTTCCCCCCACATTTATCATTTATTATTATTTATTATACTTATAATATTATATATTATTATACTTATGTATTTATTATACTTATATCTAAAATTATTTGCCACAAATTTTCTCTCTTTTTAAAACTAAGTTGGCTCTGCAGTTTCCATCAGAAGATATCCTCCTGGTAACAGCATCTCCTGTTATTAAGGCAGTTACAAATTTCAAGCAGGTAAGAACCTTCGTATAAATTTCTTAGTATTGGGAAAAAATGCAAAAACTTGCCTAACAGGGGAATAGCACTGCTTTTTTTCCTCTTGACAAGTAATGGTTTTATATATTTATAGTATACAACATATTTTAATGTTTGTGTGTTGTATACATCTCATAGCTAACTCAACTATTTAACATATGAATTACCTCATATTTATCTTTTTTGATAGTGAAAACAATAAAAGTTCTCATTAATTTTCAAATATACAATCCATTGTTATTTACCACAGTCACTGATGTAGAGTGGATCTGTGAAATTTTTTCTCTGGTCTGACTGAATTTCTGTGCTCTTTGACCAACATCTCCTGATCCCCTCTAGCTCCCACCCTCTGATAGCCAACATTTACTCTCTGTCTCTGTGAGTTTGACTTTTTACACTCCCCGTATCCGTGTGAGATTGTGTGGTGTTTGAGTTCTTGCACCTGGCTTATGCCACTTAACCTAATATCCTTCAGATTTATCCCTGTGGTCATTTCCTTCTTTCAAGGCTGCAAAGTACCCCATTGTATAAATATACTGTATTTTCTTTATCCATCCATCCGTTAATGGACACTTAGATTGGTTCCATATCTTGGTCATTATGAAAAATGCAGCAGTGAACATGGGAGTGCCCATATCTCTGTCAGGTGCTGGTTTCATTTCTTTTGTGTATATAGCCAGTAGTGGGATTACTAGATCAAATAGTAGTTGCATTGTTAATTTTTGAGGAATTCCCATACTGTTTTCCATAATTGCTGCACTGATTTACATTAGTTTGCACTAATTTACACTGCTCTTACCCGTAGTGATGAGGGTTCTTTTGTGCACATCCTCACCAACATTTGTTATTTTTCATCTGATAGTAGCTTTTCTAATAGATATCTCATGATATCTCATTGGAGTTTTAATTTGTATTTTCTCCATTGATTAGTGATATTGAGTGTTGCTGTGGATTTGTTCTGAGAGGAGGAGTGTGGTGGGGGCAAGAGGCACGGAGTCACCACACAGACCCCAGGAGCCAGGTGAAAGCAGGCCAGAGGCTAGCAGACTGTAGACTTGTTTATTTCAGTTGGTACAGCAGCTTATATAGCCAAGGCAGCCAATCCGGTCAGAGGGCGGTCTGTGCTCTAACCAATCACAGCCTGTTGCCAGGCAGTTTCCAAAGCCATCCAATCACAGCCTGTTTGCCAGGCAGGCTCCATTGTCATGTGGTTTCTGAAGCCATCCAATCACAGCCTGTTGCCAGCGGCCATCTTAGCATGGCCTTCTCATTCCACACAATGGAGCATTTTTTCATAGGCCTGTTGCCCACTTGTATGTCTTTAGAGAAACCTCAGTTCAGTTCCATTGCCTGTTTTGAAAATCCGATTGTTTTCCCACCAGTGAGTTTGAGTTCTTGGTGTGCTTTGGATATTAACTCCTTACCAGCTGTGTGGTTTACAAATATTTGCTCCTATGCTCTCTATGCCTTACTCTCTTGTTTCCTCTGTAATGCAGGAGCTTTTCAGTGTGACATAATCCAGTTTGTTTATTTTTGCTTTTGTTGCCTATACCTATGGTGTTACATTCAAAAATGTTTGCCCAGACCTCTGTCAAGGAACTTCCTCCCACCTTTGCTATGTTTTCTTCCACTGATGTTATATTTTTGAGTCTTTCCTTTAAGATGTTAGTCCATCTTGAAGTGGTTGTTATATAGTTTATGAAATTAGGACATATTAGTATGTGAGATTTGCATATAGACATCAGTTTTACCAGTACTATTTATTCAAGAGAGCATACTTTTCCCAAGTACTTTTCCTTGCTGCCTTTATCAAAAAATCGGTGGACTGTGTACATTTATTTCTGGGCTCTCTATTCTATTTCATTAGTCTATGTTGATGAGGAAATAAGACTGCAGCCAAGAGACAAAGTAAGGAAAGTGGACCCTCAGGCAAAAACCTTGCAAAGCGGCTGCTTGCAGTTGTCTGGTGAAGCAGCTGCCAGTTACCTTGTCTAGGGAGGGAAGATGTCCTAAGCTCTGCTTTCTGTAACTCCAGTCATAAGTCTGTCTCATAAGTCTGCACCAGGTATCTGTTTTATAAACATAATGGACCAGCCAACTGTTGGAAGTGTGGTCTTAAGTCACATGGACCAGTTCTCCCTAAGTAGTCCTAAGTCACATGGGCTGCAGTTTAAACCTACCAGTGCTGTAATGGTTAAGGTATGATGCTGATTAACCTATAAATATTTTAAGAAACCCAAGTTCGAGGCTTAATCTTGAGAAATGACTCTCACTGAGCCTACTAGCATTAATAAACTGTTTTCCATCCTCTACTGTCTCTGATGCCTGTTTGAAGGGAGTTTTCCTACCCCAGATTACTTTAACAGTGCTATGCTGTTTTAATTGCAGAAAGTTTGTGGTAGATTCTCAGATCTACTGGCTTTGTTTGTTTTGTTCAACATTGCTCTGGCTATTTTAGGATGGTTTTTCTTATTTCTGTGAAAAACAGCATTAGAATATGGACAGTTTGACAGTATTAATTCTTCTAATCTGTGAATGTGAGATATCTTTCCATTTATTTCTGTCTTAAATTCCTTTTATGAGTGTTTAGTAGTTTTTAGTATATAGTTCCTTCACGTCCTTTGCTAAATTATTCATAAATATTTATTTTTGTAAATGAGATTGTTGATTTCTTGGTTTGTTGATTTATTAGTTAGTTGTTAATAAGAGAAATGCTACTGATTTTTGTATGTTGATATGGTATCCTGCACCTTTATTGAGTTTTATTATTTGCAACAGACTTTTGGTGGCATCTTTAGGGTGTTCTTTATACAAGATCCTATTGTTTTCAAAAAACAGCTTAACTTTTTGCTTTCCAGTTTGTATGCCTTTTATTTGTTTCCCTTAGAGGAAAAGCTTTGCATTTTCAACCATAGAGTGTATTAGTTATCGGTTTGTTTAATAAGGTTTTTGGAGCCAGTGTTGTGGCATAGTAGACTGTGTCTACACCTGTGGCACCTACATCCCATAAGAGTGCTGGTTTGTATCCCAGCTGCTCCTCTTCTGATCCAGCTCTCTGCTGGTGGCCTGGAAGACAAAGGAACATAGCCAAAGGCTTGGGCTCCTGGCTCCTGGCTTTGGATCAGCCCAGCTCCAGCTGTTGAGGCCATTTGGTGAGTGAACCAGCAGATGGTAGTCTTTTTTCTCTATCTCTCCCTCTTTCTGTAACTCTACTTTTCAAGTAAATAAATAAAATCTTTAAAAAAATTATGGCTTTTATTGTGCTGAAGTACATTGCTTCAGTACATGATTTGTTGAGATTTTTTTTGTTGTTGTGAAAGGATGTTGAATTTATTGAACACCTTTTCTGTATCTATTAATATGATCATATGATCTTTTAACCTTCATCCTGTTAATGTGATCTGTCATGTTTATTTGTTGAACCTTCCTTGCATCCCATGGATAAATCCTACTTGAGTAAAGTGAATAACACTTTTAATTGAATCACTTTCCTGGTATGTTTTTAAGGATTTTTGCATTTACATGCTTCAAGGATCTTGGCCTCTGATTTCTTTTTCTTGTAGTGTCCTTTCTGGCTTTTATATGGGGTATTGCTGGCCTGATAAAAAGAATTTTCCATCCTCATCAGTTTTAGGAAGTTTGAGACAGATTTAAGAAGTTGGTAGAACTCGGCAATGAAATATGGTCCTGAACTTTTATTTGATGGAGGACTTCTTATTACTGGTTCAATCTTGCTACTGGTTGTCGCTCCCCCTCTTTGTGGAGGAATGACACAGGACCCTGCACTGTTCTTTTGTCTGCTTGGCCCTTCCCGGGTTTGCTGCTGGTTCTTCCCGGGTTGGCTGCCATCCCTCCACCTCCGTGGAGGGGCGGGCCCCCCTGCCACTTTCCCCACTTCCGCAGGGGAGCGGCACACCACCGGCTGGCTCTCTCGGGGGCTGCTCAGGTGTTCCTTCAGATAGATATTCCTGGTGCATGTTGTCTTCTCCTCCTTTATAGTCCTTTTCCACCAATCCCAACTCTGCTACCCACACGCCGAGTACGCTGCTCTCCTCCAATCAGGAGCAGCTCCTGCAGCTCAATCAAATTGGCAAGAGGCAGCTGCGTAGAAGTTGTTTACTCCCTTCTCAGCGCCATATTGTGGAAGAGCAGATGCATAGAATAAGTCTTAATTCCAGTAACTTAGTCTAGTCCGAGTTGCTCCCCACAACTGGTCTGTTCATATTTTCTGTTTCTTTATGTTTTAGGCTTGATAAGTTGTGTGTGCCTGAGAATTTATCCATTTCTTCAAGGGTATCCAATTTGTTGGCATGTGATTGTTCATAATAGCCTCTCTTAATCATCTTTTGTACTTCTGTTTATTATAATGTCTTCTATTTCATTTACTATTTGAGTCTCCTCTCATTTTTTCTTAACTAGTTAAACTTTGTCATTTTGTATAGATCTTTTTTAAAAAAAAAACAAGTGTTGATCTTTTCAGTTTTTCTACTCTGTTTCATTTATTTCTACTCTGATATTTATTTTCTTCTTTTTCCTGGCTTGTTTTGAGCTTAGTATGTTCATTTTTTATTTTTGCATAGTATAAAAATAAATTTTTTGAGAATCTCTTCTTTTTAATTGCTGTAAACTTCCCTCTTTGCTTTAGTGGCATCCCGTAAGTTTTGGTAGGTTATATTTCCATTTTTGTTTGAATCAAGGTATTTTTAAATTTCCTTTCATATTGGTTCTTTTTTTTTTTTCTTTTTTTGACAGAGAGACAGTGAGAGAGAGAGAGAGAAAGGTCTTCCTTCCATTGGTTCACTCCCCAAATGGCCGCCACGGCCAGCGCTGCACCTGTCCGAAGTCAGTAGCCAGGTGCTTCCTCCCTGTCTCCCATGTGGGTGCAGGTCCAAGCACTTGGGCCATCCTCCACTGCCTTCCCGGGCCACAGCACAGAGCTGGACAGGAAGAGGAGCAACCGGGGGCTAGAACCTGGCGCCCATATGGGATGCTGGCACCGCAGGCGGAGGATTAACCAAGTGAGCCACGGCACTGGCTTCATATTGGTTCTTTGGGAACATGTTTTATTTCCACATATTAGTGGATTTTCTGCAGTTCCTCTTATTATTGATTTCTAGTTTCATACCATTGTACTTGGAAAAATTATTTGATGTCATTCTTTCTAAATTCTTAAGACTTGCTGTGTGACCTGTCTTGTGATGTCTCCTGGAGACTGTTCCACATGTATTTGAGAAGACGGTGTGCTCTGCTGCTGTTGCACAGGATGCTCTGTTCGTGCATGCTAAGTCCATTGGTCTGTAATTCATAGCCAGTGTGTCCTCTTTTTCCATCTTGGTGATCTGTCCATTGTTCAAAGTGGGATATTGAAGTTCCCTATATATTGCAATATTTCCCTCTTTAGGTTTGTTAATATTTGCTTTATATATTTATGTATCCTGATGTTGAGTGCCTATAAATTTGTTATTTCCTCTTGATGAATTGACCCCTTTATCATTAAATAATGACTTTGGTTTAATTTTAGATTTAAAGTATTTTATCTGATACAAGTGTAGCTACCCCTGCTCTTTGGTATCCATTTGCATGGAATATCTTTTTCCATTTTTTCACTTTCAGTCTATGTGTGTTATCATACTGAAGTCAATCTCTTATAGGCAATATATAATTGGATCTTGTTAGTCCATTTTACCACTCTAAGTATTTTGTTGGCAGAATTTAATCCATTTATATTCAAAGTAATTACTGATAGGTGAAGACTCTTTCCTGGTTGTTTAATAAATCTGTTGTTTGTCCCTCACCTGCTATCTTCCTTTGTGATTAGATGACTTTAGAATAACCATATAAAATTTTTTTATATACTTTGAAATTTTACATTGCAGCTAGTTTTAAGAAACCATCACTTACCCGATTTTAGTATAACATCAAAGAAAAATGTACAGTTATCTGAAAAATATGCTATTTGTGAGGCCAAAGTGTCTTCCTGTACTTCAACCAAAGCAAAATATTACTGTTGTGTGACAAAAGGAGTTTAAGCAAAGAAGCAAAATGGAAGATACTTCTGTTAAGCCATATAAAGAGATTGGCTAAGATATAAACCAATGTCATTCTTCTCACTTGCTTTGGAAAATACTGTTATTTTCATTGAAAGTATGTCTGTAAGACATGTGTTAGACTTACTACTTTTAAGTGAATTAAATACTTAGAATTTTTCTCAGCTGTACTTTCTAATGTGTGTTGCTAGGCACAGTTTAAGCAAAAGCTCTTCGGGGTCTCGATAATTTGTAAAATGTAAAGGGGCTTTGAGGCTAACAGGTTTGAGAACTTCTAGAACCATGTGGTAGGATTTTTATGCAGTGTCTAAGGAACAGCTGAGATCAAACACCAGTCCGCATGGTTGAGTGGTCCTTCTCTAGCAGACTGTGTACGGGACTAGAGAAGTCAGGTAGTTTGGTCTATGATTGGAGGTTTGGAGGCTGCTTAATGGTTAAGGATAAGAGAGCAAAGAAGCAAAGGGTTTGGGCAAAAGGCGAAATGATCCACAGTGCAATCTCAGCCAGTTAGGAAGGAAAGCAAGTCCAAGGAGCTGAAGGTTCTAGAGAACATGGAAGAAGCACCTAAAGACTCTGTTGGAGTAAGGTCAGTGAGAAAGGGAGAGGGCCAGCTAACAGGGTAAGGACATGGGTAAGCTGTTCGGCTCAACCATACACAAGTAGGTGGTGTTAGCCCTCCTTGTATGGTCAGGAAACAGACTCAGGGACTTACCTGACGTGCCCAGGAGTGGCACAACTAATATGCAAAACAGATGCTAAAATGTCAAGCTTCGTCTTCTTTCCACTGAATATAATGCAGTTGGCTATCTTATTTTGTGACTGTTAAATAGTGGTATATAAAAGCAAATGAGAATATTTTTGTATTTAAGATACATATTTTTTCCTCTCTGATCTGATACAGGTTTCTAAAATTTTAGAAGAGTTTGACGTTGAAGAACAAGCAAGTACCATGTTGGAAAGTCGCTTTCCCAACATTAAAGTTATACAATCCGGAGTAAAGCAACTTAAGAGTGAAGAACATGTAAGATGATTTTTTTTCTTACTGGCATTTTCCGTTGTTAAATCTTGATGAGGCTATACATGCCTGCTTTTTTACCACAATGCCACAGTTAACATCGGTTAAGCCCCTAACATGCAAAGTTTGGTGACAATGATTTCCATTATTTTTAGAAAAATATATACTTTTTGTAAGTGTATTGGGATTATGTAATTAGTTTGGCTTGCATGTTAGTTTAACATTTCAAATTACATTAATGTCCACTATGTTTTAGATAGTGCATTAGGTGTTGGAAATCACTAGGTATAATACCTGGTACCTGCTCCTAGGAGCTGTCAAGAATATAAACCATACTATATAATTATATGGAATGTCAAAAATGCAGTCATTGAAACATTATCAAAGTCCTGAGACTAGGGAAGTTGTGATAAAGAGAAACTTCAAAGAGGGAATAATGTTTGAGCTGGGTTTTAAAAGGTGGTAAACTAGGAAGGGGAGACTGCTTTTCAAGGACCCACGAAGGAAAGAGGCACTTGTAGTAGTGAGGATGGCAAAGGGATTGGGAGTACGAATAAGGAAAGGAGATTGGCAAATAAGGCTAGAGAAAGAAGTGAATAAGATTGTAAAGACTTTTCAGGAAGTTGAGCTATTTAATGGAGAAATTATAAATGATTTTAATTTGGGCAGGGATGATAAATGGATTGTTTTAAAAAGATAGGTCATATAGCAATGTCAAGGATGACCTGGGATGTTGCAGGTGACTAGTGGCCAACAACAACATTAGAAGGCAGTTGTGCCAGGGAGTACAGTGGAGGATGGCCCAAGTCCTTGGGCCTTGCACCCCATGGGAGACCAGGATAAGTACCTGGCTCCTGCCTTCGGATCAGTGCGGTGCGCCGGCTGCAGCGCACCGGCTGCGGCGGCCATTGGAGGGTGAAACGACGGCAAAAGGAAGACCTTTCTCTCTGTCTCTCTCTCTCACTGTCCACTCTGCCTGTCAAAAAAAAAAAAAAAAAAAAACCAGTTGTAAGAGTCCAAAAGTGACCTAAGTCCTGAACTAATGCAGGATCATATAATTGCAAAGAATATGCCAAAGTTCGGTGAGATTTCTACTGCACAGGGGCTTCAGAAAGTTTGGAAAATGTGTATATCTTTTAATTCTGTTCCCACAGATATTGAAGCCCACTTAGAAACTCAGCAGGGCTGAATATTCCCTTGAACATGACAACGCCTAAAGCAGTATCAGGAACAAATGTCATCACATGATTTATTAATAACCTCAGATGAGCTTTGGCTGTGCCAAATGCCTGTCCTGAATTCTTATTTTTTTAAATTTAGTCAGTGCATAAAACTAACCAGAGTTTCCAAAAGAAGACAGATATAAAATTTCTTTGCAGACTGGCCATATTTGATTTTTGGTTTTCTGTTATCTGTTATGTAACTGAAGAGTTAAACTGGGTAATAAATGTCTCACTGTGATTTGCCAAGTTTTGTGCATCCAACATCAAAGTGTTACCCCTTACCCCATTCCAACAAAGCCAGTGTCTCTTTTACAATTGCTAGAGTTAAAGGTTAACATGGTTTTTCATTTTTCTTAAAAGGTAATTGCCAGAAAAGAAAATGATTACGAGTCACTAGATTAGAGAATCTGCTCTTGTGCTTAGTTAGCTTTGTGGATGTTGTAACAAAGCCTTGAGTGCCACCAAGAGGCAACCTTAACACAGTACTTTTCACGTATTTATTAAGCGAATGTTGTATTTCAAGTGAGCTTGTACCCATGTATAATAAATGTTTCCCTTCTTTTCATTGCTGTGTGTATTTACAGTGCATTTTAACAGAAGATGGCCATCAGCATGTGTATGGGAAACTCTGTCTGTGTGCTGGAGCAAAGCCAAAGTTGATCTGTGAAGGAAATCCTTATGTGTTAGGCATCCGTGATACAGACAGTGCTCAGGTAACAGGGTCAAGGTTGGATCATGGGATGGGAACAAGAAGATTCCTGCCTTATACTCTCCTACATCTGAATCAGAGTGGTCTAGTTACCATGTTAGTCCCTGAATTCTAAGAGCAGAAGGGCGGCTTTTCTTTCATGATCTTTAAACCTGAAGGTGATCATGTTTGATTACTTTCAATTTCAGTTCACTTTTAGTTGACAGTTTAGGTTTTAGTTCAAGGTGATATTTTATGTTCTTTTTTTTTTTTTTTTTTTGAGATATCCTAAAGGCTGTACTGTACTGAATGTTACAACCTACATTATATACACATTCATTACTCTACTTTGGGAATATAGGATTTGCAATGTAAATAGTGGAAGAGTCTTTTTCCAAAAAGGTAAAGCATATACAGAATTTACAAAGATTACTCTGTATCCATAAAATTGAAAGTCAAAAGGTTTTAATGGTCTGAAATGATAGAATTTTGGAACTGAAGAAGTCACTTGGTTTAGTCTTCTGCCCTAGAACTGATAAATTATCCTAATAAGGCAAGCCTTCTGTCTGCAGATCATATAAGTACTTTTGGTAATTAATTTGAGGGGTTATTAGCCCTCTTTGCCATTCTTCCTGGGGTTCTCGCATTAATTTTTCTTACCTGGAGCTCACAGCGGTTGTCCTGTTGCATGAGGCAAAATATTTTATATTCTTTAATGTTTTCTTGCAGCCTATCCTTTTTTAAATTAAATAATTAGGAATTTAGGAATAAGCTAAAAAACTTAACTTTCTTGTGAACATTTTTGGTTCATATTACTGAGAGTGAGCTCACAGCTGTTTAGCTAGGACTTCTGTGTACCTGAACTCACTTTGCTCTTGTGTGACAGTTATTCCCACTTTGCATATAGGAAGCTGAGAGTAAGAGATTGAGTATTTACCTGTACTATAGTACCTATTAGCTTTATCAGACACACAGTGTAAAGTGTAAACTCATGTCTTTTATTTCTATGCCTGGTAGTCACTAGAGATCTTTGTTAAATTGTCTGCTACCCTCAATAAAGAATTTTATAGGAGTCAAGTTTAGTGGTTACTTTATTGAATATTATCAATTTGGTGGCCAGTTTAATAGAAATGGTTACTTAGTAGTAGGAGAAATTTATCTGTTCAGAAGTCTTCATGGAGCAAAGGGGCAGTTCTGTGCTTTTGAAATGCCAGGAGAATGAACACTGCCTTCCGTAAGCTCACCATCACCTTTTGGGAAAGTGGTGCAGGCATCACTCATATTAAAATGGTGGTAATGGAGCATTATCGTCAAAAACTATTAGACATTATTATGTGCCTAGTACTCCTAACAACTAATGTATATTAATCTCACCTAATCCTTACTTAGGAGATGTAGTCATTTATTGTTTGCATTTACAGCTAAAGAACTGGAGGCGCAGAGAGTCAGTGAGCAACTTGCCCAGGATCACCCAGCTAGGAACTACAAGAGCCAGGGAATCCAGGGAGGTGCTCTTAACCACTGTGCTGCTTGCTTCTCACCCCTGTTAAGTTCTAAGTGTTAGATGACTCTAGGGAAACAGCAGTGGTGAAACTAGAAGAATAGGAGTAATGTTTGAATTGGTCAGATAGTTGGAAACATGATAACCTAATGACAGTGGGATTCTTAGTACTCTACATGTACTGTGATAAAAGGCAAGGAAAATCAGGGGAGGCACTACTATTGGGACAGCTTGGCATCAAACACAAGGGAAACATTTGTAATATTAATGGGAAGGGTGCATCCTGGCAGAAGGGGATAGTGAGACTTACTGTTCTCTTGTAAATTCAATAAGACACATTTTTAGAATATTTTTAAGCTTGCTTCAGGTAATAGCCATTGTTTCAAAACATTATTTCATTATTTTCTTTTTAATACAGGAATTTCAGAAACAGCTTACCAAAGCAAAAAGAATAATGATCATAGGGAATGGTGGTATTGCACTTGAATTAGTGTAAGTATGTTGTTAAATACTATTTAAGAATTGTTCTGTGATTCAAATGATTATTGGCAGACAAGAAACATCTTTGAAATATCTTTGATGACATTTGAAAGTCAAAAATGGATAATAATTGCTTTCCTATGTTTTCAAGGAGACAAACTTTAATTTTTACCTTTCATGGAGTACACAGTTACAGAAATTATTGGAAATAAAATGCTTTAGGTGTCAGTGGGTCATTCACTGGTGACTGGCTGCATTTGACCTGTGGACGTGTTTGATAAATAGTACTGTGTTTAAAAATTAATGGAAACATATGCACCTTTAGAGATGTTTAGTCACAGCTCCACCATTTTTTATTGCTTATATCTATCTTGCTTCACTCATTTTTGTTGCCTGGGTGGCCAGTGACATCCAAAATTGTTTGTGATTTTTAATTCAGGATATGTAGCTTGGGAAATGTGTGCACATTAATTAATATGAAATATTTCATCTTAAGATGATATTTCAAGTCAAAAAACATTGAGAAATACCCTGTGGTGGCCTGCAGAACATCAGTTCCCTTTCTTTGTGATTTTATCTGTTGTCTAATGACTGACATGGAATGATCTGGATCCATTTTAGAACAGAAAGTTGGGTCAAACAACACAGAGGACAAATTTGTATCAAAATAAGACATTTGGCAAAGCTCTATGTGTGCTCACCTGCACCAATCTCAGCTCTCAGACTAGGTTTATGCCCTCTCCTTTGGAGGATGGTCTATCCCGAGGGCTGGCAGTCATGGCTATGGTTGTGAAGGTTATGGCATTTTATGGAGAAATGCAGAAAAATCAGAGACAAAAGCATAATGTGGGCTAAGAGGGGCTTCCAGTCATGACATACACATGACCTATTTTGGCTATTATAAAAGGTGTCAATACTGTAATTACTACTTACACTTAAAAGCTTTGCAGTGTTCAAAAATACTCAGTCTGACAACAATTAAATCTCTCCCTGATTTCCTGCAGGTTGGAGATTGAAAGCTAGGAAATTGGGTAAAACGATTAATACTATGTTGAGTATCCCTTTAAGAAGGATCCCATGTAGTATTCCTCTCTGAGTATTGGTCCTCTAACTGTTTGTCATAAAAAAAAATTATATTATCTAAGCCCCGTCTACTATGTAATTGCCCTGTTTCCTATAAAGCAAGTACGAATTTTCTTCAGTTTACTTTTATTTTAGGTGTCTCTGTTTTCTTTTTTTATAATACAGGTTAATCTCACCTTTGCTTTACAGGCACAGTTTTTTGGTAATTTCACAAAACCGTAAATACATCACTGTCGTCTGCTTTTTTAGATAACTTATCTAAATGAAAAAAAAATGTTTCCTATATGTGTGATTGAAGCTTGTGGCTCTTGTTGAGAGTGTAATTCGAGTTAGGCTAAGAGGATTAGAAGGTGTCCTGTGAGGTAGATCATGTACAGAAATTAGTTGTAGTGGTTGCTTGTAGTTGTAACATCCTACTCAGTGGTTAGTATATTAACCTGCACACACATATTTTACAAAAGATACTAAGATTGAGAAATTCCCAACTAATAAGTAAGGGAAGGATTTCCTAGTAACCACATACCTATATAACAACTGAATATAAAATGTGTCACCAAATATATGTGTATTCTTTCTGCTGGCCAGTGATACTATTTATGGCCTGAGGTGCATAAAATGAGAATATTCTCCAAATATTTGGAGTTTTAGTGACTACAAAAATTTGCTGCCATAGGAGGGCGGAGAAGTGGAGTTTGATTGGCAAGGGGCTCTTTTACCATGCATGTGTCAAAAGGCAGAAACATCAGTCATCTGGAGTCAGATGTGCTAAACTTGTTATCTCTCATGGTTACTGGTTAGTCTTGAAAAGTCATATAACCTAACATTGTATCAGTCTGTGAAATAAAGATGGCAGTTTTTACAGCTTAAGTTGAAAATTAAGATATTAACAGATAGTAGTGCAAGATAAAAATCCTGTTAGGATTGGGGGGGGCATCTATCTTGTTTGTCTTGAATAGTCCTCTGTTTTACACTAATTGTACTGAAACAATTAGTAACAAATAATGCCCCAAGATAAGTGTTAAATTATGTGATTTGACCTTAACTGTAATGAATGTGGGGTCTCTGTGAAATGAATATTGCCAGCAATCACATTCTGAAGTGTCCCAACCCAGAAATAAAAGATACTCGAGCATTCTGGCAAGCCCATCAGCAGTAATGGAAGGGGACCTATTGATACCATGGTTCTTCCTGCCTTCTTCTAAGACTCTTCATCTTTCTATGAACTAGATCTTTCTTTGGTTAAATGATTTAGGAATTTCCAAGATGAGGGCAAGTAGATATCGGCAATGATTTCTTTGTTATAGAATTAAAATTGTAGTTTTTAACTCTGTTTCCTTTTGCTACCCACTTCCATCTGGTGGTGCTTTTAATATAGAAAGGACAATTCCATGGTACTTCCATTATACAAAAAAAAAAAAAAAAAAAAAAAAAAAAAGGCTTAGAGGGTAAAGCTGCCACCTTCAACACTGGCATCTCAGATGGGCGCCTGTTCTTGTCCTGGCTGCTCCACTTCTGATCCAGCTCTCTACTAAGGGCCTGGGAAAGCAGCGGAAGATTGCCCAAGTCTTTGGGCCCCTGCCACCCACATGGGAGACGTGGAAGCAGCTCCTGGTTCCTGGCTCTGACCTGGCCACCTCAGCCCTGGCCATTGGAGCCATCTGGGGAGAACATCAGCAGATAGAAGGTCTCTGTCTCTCTTTCTCTGTAACTCTGACTGTGAAGTAAATAAGCTTTAGAAATAGTTACCAAAGAACTCTTCTAGTCTCAGTGTTGTAGCTTTGTAGCCATCCATTATGGATTACACCATACCATAGAAACAAAAGTACTGCTTACCCTTGTGAATCCTAGGAGACATTATAACAAAGTAACTATATTATAGAAATTGTTTGATAATATTCATTGCAGTAAAACTTTATGATATTCAGGACATGGATTTGTCAGTTATAGATTGTTCCAATAAACTAGTGAAATTTCTTTATTTATCCTATCTTTAATTCTTATGATCCTTAAGGATTATTGTACAGTCTTTCCCAAATTGTCTTAAAAATAAGTTCTTTACTCTCTGTTGGGAGATGATGACTATTTGCACACATGAAGACTTCTAATTACACTTCTGAAATTAAATAACTTTAATATTCCTTTTAGGTACGAAATTGAAGGCTGTGAAGTGATTTGGGCCATTAAAGATAAAGCCATTGGGAATACTTTCTTTGATGCAGGAGCAGCTGAATTCTTGACTTCAAAGCTTGTTTCTGAAAAACCAGAGGCTAAAATCGCACATAAAAGAACCAGATATACAACTGAAGGTGAGTATAGCATCCAGCTCAATAATTTCACAGATGAAATATTTTTTAACCATATAGAAAGTTCATGGAAAAAGGAAATAAGTATTATTTTGGTGCAATAAATCTCGGCATTTATGTATAGGTTTTCATAATACACATTTTCCACACACTTTTTGTTTTGTATATTTTGGAGATAATATGAGTACTTCTTTCCTTTCCTATATCCTTATTAAGTTTTCATATTTTTTAGAACATATGTATATATAATTAAAACAGGACATTTGAATTAAACAAACTAACCCATTTGCACATATGCAGACAGATCTTACAGTTGGGGAACACATACATACTTTTGTAAAAATGTGGTGACTTTATGGATAAATACAAACCACACATTTCTTTATTGTAATAGCTTTTTTTATGTTTGTTTATAAAATTCAAGAATTTTCTCTTTTGGAGGTACTGAAAATTGACAAAATCTTGAAAATTGAAGACCTTTTTTTTAGTTTCATGTTAACTAGTGTATGTAACATCCAAGAGATAAGTTGGATATTTATACTTACCACTCAATTGAAAAAATACCCATTTTGTAGCTCTACATCATAAAATATTAAAATAATGAAAGTGATTAATGTACAAGTAGATAACTTTGTTCACTCAGGCTAAAATGCCTGTGTGTGTGTGTGTAAGAAAGAATCATTACATTGCCTAAATCTTCAGAGCACAGGCACGACTCTGCCTGGCCATTTTTACGTCATTTGATTCATCTCTTTAGGAAGGAAAAGGGAAGCAGGAGGCAAAGCTAATGCTGAAAACTTAGGCAGTGCCCTGGGACCAGACTGGCATGAAGGCTTGAATCTTAAAGGAACTAAAGAGGTATGTTTTCAAATAAAATTTGAAGTTGTCTAAAAATGCAATTTTAAATTATTGAACCACTTGTTAAGGACTAGACTCAAATGCAAGTATATTGTCAAGAAATTGCTAGATCATATTACTCAAAATCCATCATGCTACGAAAGTACTTCAGAGCCTTGTTTTACCCAAAATCGCTGAGTATCATCTCAAACCAGCTCTCACACTTTTATCTAACTCACGTAGACATAGAATCTCCATTTGCAGACTAATGTGTACATCTGTCTTGTTTAAGTTACATCTTTTCTTAAGGTCACTGCAGATGCATGCATTGATTACACTGACAATGTAAAGATCACTAGACGGATTCAGAATACACACTATTTTAATAAAAGAACATTTGCTTTTACTCATTTTACTGATTACATGTTTTTAATGGTTGTTAAAAGGCTGTGTCATTTAAATATTCCAAAAAGTATGCATGTAGTCCATTACTGTGCATACTGCCTTTCAAGAGTTGGTTTTCAGCCTTCAGGGGGTGAGTGGGGAGCTGCCTTCACAGTATGTCTAATTTTTCTGATGGAAGTTAGGAAAAATCATTTCTGTACCCTTACCTCCTAAGATTAATTGTATTTTTAAGCTGAGAACTTTAACAGTTCAGGAAGCATTTATTATGTACTGAAACCTTGCACTTCATTGAAGTTCTGAGATGCAGCAATAAATATAGAGCTGCCTGAAGAAATTCTGCAGTCTGTAACCACTCTGATTGCTGAAGAGATCATATATCAATAATTGAGACTAAAAGTCCTGCTCTCCATTCTCCCTGCCAGTGCAGCTACTAGCTCTCTTAAGGACTGTTTAGTTCTGCTGTCTGCTTTCACACACAGAAATTCAAAGACTTATTTTGGAGCATAATGTGTTTTCAGTTACATTAGACAAATCATTTTTTCTGTTCCACAACTGTATTAAAATGTTTTATTCATCAGCAAAACTCGTCATTCTTTCTATAAATGTTAGGATAACCAGTATATTGTTTTTACTTCAGTTTTGTCGTAAGATTCACATTGAAACAATGTGTGAAGTAAAGAAAATCTACCTGCAGGAAGAATTTAGAATTCTGAAGAAAAAGTCCTTGACCTTTCCAAGAGATCATCAGTATAAGTCAGCTGCACTAGACAAAGGTAAGTTATGAAAAAAGAAAAATACGTAGCTACTTATATGAAAGGTAGACAACTTTTTTTTTTTAAAGATTTATTTATTTGAGAGAGTTACAGAGACAGGTAGAAACAGAGAGAGAGAGGGGTCTTCCATCTGATGGTTCACTACTCAGATGGCCACAACACCCAGCCATCCGAAGCCAGGAGCCAGGAGCTTCTTCTGGGTCTGCCACATGGGTTCAGGGCCCCAAGGACTCGGGCCATCCTCTGCTGCTTTCTCAGGGTTATCAGCAGGAAGTTGGATCAAGAAAGTAGAGCAGCCGGGACTCAATCTGGTGCCCATATAGGATGCAGGTACTGCAGGCCAGGACTTTAACCTGCTGTGCCACAGCACCAGCCCCCAAAGGAAGACAGTTTAATCTTATTATGTTAGAAAAACTTTTGGAGTACAGTTTTAGCCTAGTACCCACAGCCCATGTATCCTGTATCAAAATACCTGGGTTTTATTCCTGGTTCTGTCTCCTGACTCCAACTTGCTACTAATGTAGACCTTGGGAGGCAGCCAGGAGGAACCAAGTAATTGGGTGTCTGTCTGTCACATGGGATCAGCCCAGGTCAGCCTGGGGCCACTGCAGGCATTGGGAGAGTGAATGAGAGCTCTACCTCTCTTTCTGCCTCTCAAATATAGTACTTAATTTAAAAAAGTCTTTGGATTTCCATACAAAATTTAAATAAGGCAAGTAAAAAATAAAACCATAATTTATAATATTAAGTCACTTTATTCCATTCCTTATTTAAATTGTCTAATACCTTAAACTGTCTAGGCTTTTACATCAGGCTCATAGTGTTTTGCCCATCACAACCTGGTGAATCAGTCAGAATATTTTCCTGATCAAAATAAATTCTATAAATAAAAACTACTAAGGTTTTCAACAGTGAAGTGACTTCCCTAAAATCAAACTGAAAATCTATATATTTGGGACTAAGATGCAGTTCCTCAAACTCCTTTTCCAAGTATTTCTGTGAGTCATTAGAAGAAATACATTCAGACAACTACCATACAGGATACTCCACTGTTTTGAATTCTTTGAATTTTTCCATAGCAAAAGGGAATGTTAAGATTTGGAATGTGAATACTGAAGGAAAACACTGGAAAGTAAGAAACATAAGAGCTAAAAACTAAGAGTATAAAGTATTGATAAACATTTTTAAGGAAATAATTCAGAAAAGGATTACTAATTTCTACTTACTTTGTTAGAATTTATATATCCAAATTTGAAGGACATTTAGAATGCCAAGGTTTCATAATTACACCTAAAACAAGATGATGTTGATTGTATTAAAATTGCTTTGACATATGTACTTTATGAAAATTAAGGGGTAATCATCTCCCACCTTTTTATGAATAACATCATTTACATAATATTCCAGATAGTTATGGGTGATTACATTTGAGGATGAAGTGTCCCCTTTTTGTTTTCTGTTTGTATGTTACAGAGATGTGGCCTGTGTATGTGGAATTGACCAACGAAAAGATATATGGCTGTGATTTCATTGTGAGTGCCACAGGAGTTACACCAAATGTGGAACCTTTTCTCCATGGTAACAATGTAAGGTCGAATTTTTGTTCAACTGCAGATATTTTTAATGTATTAGTTCTTTATAAAGACACCTAGTTCTCAAGTGTGAATAATTGTTGTTTTAGTACAAAACTATAACTTAAGATGGCTGAAAACAGTTTGGTTATTATTCATGTCTTAAGAGTATTTACTGCTTAAAATGGCTAGACCATTAATATCCTTAGGTAGGTGTCATCAGTAAGAGATAGGGTGCACAATTTATTTATCTAAATGTTGCTAAGAGAATGATACTCCTGTGAATTCTCAACAAAAGAGTTTGTTTTTTAGCATTAAATTTACATAAAAACAGGAATGTTCTTATGAGTGGAGTAGTCATACAGTTACTGGGTATTTTTAATGTTGAAATTCTAAGAATTGTATGACTATTTTAATAGGAATTTGGTCCCTGGAAATTCAACTTAGAGGAGTTTAAAATGGAGGTACATTTTCCTTTCTCATTAGATCAGCATAGCTAGGTGTAAAAATTGGACTTACCCTTTTATTTCTGAATGAAGTACTGTTTCATCTTTCTTACCATAAGGAAGATGAGCAAGCGCCAAGTGTACTCATGAGGAACATGGTTTAGTTTGCCCTAGGAGAAGATGGTGGACTCCAGGTAGATGATCACATGCACACTTCCCTCCCGGATGTCTATGCCGCAGGTGACATCTGCACTGCGTCCTGGCAACCTAGCCCTGTCTGGCAGCAGGTAAGCCCGCAAATGGGATTCCGGGCTTTTAAAAGGGCATCCAGCTGAAAATACAGTGGTTGTTACCAACGTATCCCACTTTGTTGTCTTCTAAGTCTTCTACCTTAAGAGGAAAGCTATCTCAGAATTGTTTTTGGTGCTATTAAAAAAGAGAAGGTTTTTTCTTTTTTGCCGGCTGTGATATAGTGATAGAGTAGACCAGGGAAATAATTATGAACTGTTGCTTTTTCATTCTCATGTTATCAGTGCCATCCAGTAGAACTGTCTGCAGTGATGGGAATCATCCAATCAGGTAGCCACTAGCCACATGTGTCACATGAGCATTTTAAATGTGGCTAATGTGGCTAAAGAACTGTTTTGAAAAGTTTTATTCAGTTTTAATTAAAGGTAAATGCTACATATGGCTAGTGGCTATCACAGTGGACAGTCTTAGTTTAAAAAACAAAACTGCTGAGATTAAAAAATCACGTATACATAAAGCATTTTGCGAGTAGTCCTAGGATGCCCCTTTTTCTGTTCCCATGGTAATTATTATACAAGAACTTCCTACAGTGAGCAGCTTTTCTCAGCCTTCACAACTCCCAACTCCCAACTGGATCTAGACTTCCTCTTGCCTTCATGGTGTTGCCTGGCTCCTGATGGTGGAGCAGAACTTTTAAGGGCAGATAATAAAGGCAGTGTTCAGAGGAACAGTTATCTTCAGAACTGCAGAGACAAGAGGTGTTAGATGTAAGAGCCACTGACCATGTGTCTTTGTTGAAGAGTAGCTCCATGGTGAGGGGTAGTGTTTCTTTAGATTAACTGTTGTGGAGTATGAAGTAGTAGAAGAGCTGAAGGTACTTAAAGAGGCATCTTCATCATTTTGTGCTTTTATAGAGAGCAAAGACATGCAGCAGAGTTCTTTCATCCTGTTTCTAACATGCTTCAAACCTGATTTTTTTTTTTTTTTGACAGGCAGAGTGGACAGTGAGAGAGACAGAGAAAGGTCTTCCTTTGCCTTTGGTTCACCCTCCAATGGCTGCTGTGGCCGGCACACCGCGCTGATCCGATGGCAGGAGCCAGGTGCTTCTCCTGGTCTCCTATGGGGTGCAGGGGCCAAGGACTTGGGCCATCCTCCACTGCACGCCCTGGCCACAGCAGAGAGCTGGCCTGGAAGAGGGGCAACCGGGACAGAATCCGGCGCCCCAACCGGGACTAGAACCCGGTGTGCCAGCGCCGCAAGGTGGAGGATTAGCCTAGTGAGCCGCGGCGCCAGCCCAAACCTGATTTTCAGTTTTCGCTACTAACATCCTGTCATTCCTGAGGCATAACTGTCCAAAAATCGTAATTAAGACTTGGGGGTAGTTTTCCTTTTTTTTTTTTTTCCTTTTTAACTTGCCAGCATAAACTATATGAGTGTCATGATCTGATACAAGGAAAACATACTCAAAAATAAAAAGGTGCCCCTTGTTTTCACTGTATCTAGCATACTCCATTTCTTAATTTGCTCAACAATAGGACACTGATTAATTTGTTTTACATTACACGAAATGAAGGGAGTTTGCGGCTGGACTCCGTGAGGTAATCTGGGCCCAGCAGTGGGCTGTGCAGACCACTCGTTAGCCATTCTCAAGCTGCTGCTCTGCTCAGTGCACTCTGTTCTCTTGCCATGGTCTGTCTGTCCCTTTATTGTCCCTCCTGTTTAGAGAGAGGAATAGAAGAAAAAGCTGTCACTTCTACCAGAAACACTCAAAAGATCATAACCTGAATTTACAGTGTTGTTTTTGCAGACAGCAGATGGCATTTGATCCATATGAAAACATGGGGGGGGAGGGTAGGGAAAAAGGGAAACTAATAGGTTATTATAGGCTGACATTTTATTCTGCCACTAGCATAGAGTAGGTGGTATCACATTTGTGTTTCAAGTGCAGGAAGAAAATGAGGCTACAAAAAAGCAATAATTATTTGGAAGAGTTGATATGCAAATCTGTGATTCCAGGAACAGCGTTCTTTTATACCAGGAATCCCAAAACTGTGTCGAAATAAAATGGCAGAAAAATTAATACTGTTATAGAGAAAAATATAGGTGACTTCCCACAGTCTGTTGCTGAAATCTGATATGAAGTCCTGGAGCTGGGCACCACCTGACACATGTCTGTCTACCAGTGAGGCTAAGTGCACAGCAGGCCTTAACCATCCAGAGCCTGAAGATGAAGTTACTGGAAAACCAAAACAAGGTTTCAGCAATAGTTAAGCATCTTGATTAATATTAATGGCAGACTTTGGAGAGGGGGCTGGCAAATTTAAATCTATTCTTACCTAGTATCATCTGAAATATTAATAATGTTTAATAGAAATTTTACTGAAAATATGTGATTGGTGGCATTCTTTATTTCGGAGGCAGAAATGTTGAGACTAACAACAAAGTCAGTTTGAGTAGTGCACCTGGATGCGTGCTTCTGTGGCAACAATGATAATAACTGGAATGAGTTATTCTGTAGGAATGTCACTGAGTTGCTTTTAAGGAATTAACAAGGGTAGGATGGTAACCTCTTTCATATTTTCATTGTTTGAGATGAGACTGTGGACCCAGGCCAGACAGATGGGATGGTACGCAGCAAAGTGCATGGCTGCAGCCAGTGTGGGAGACTCCATTGACATGGACTTCAGCTTTGAACTATTTGCTCATGTAACAAAATTTTTCAACTATAAGGTAAAGCAGATGCCTTTTTTTGATCATCAGTGTTATAAATAAGATGATGTAATTTCCTTCAGAGCAGTACCTTGTATGATAGCTGTTACGTAAGTACCTGTTTTACCATTAGATTATTTTACATTGAAGAAGTGAAGAAACACTGCAGATTTATTTTTAAGTTTTATTTGTGATTTATCCTTTCTTTCTAAGGGGAACCGGGAGCTAGCATATTTAAGAATGAACTACCTGCTTTCCCACATGTACTATCTTATTTAATCTTGTGTACATTAATCTGAGGCAGGTTTTTTTCCCTGATATAAAAATAAGGAAAATCACACCTTTAAACCATAATGCCACGTTAACATAGTCCACAGTCTACACATTTGTATGGTCTTAGCATCAGTGTTGCTGTGTAGTGTCACCTGTAGAATCAGTGTATGCACTGGGGTCCTCCCCAATGACGCTGGCTGTTGTAACGTGACACAAAGTGACTGCACGCTGTTTGCTTTTTGAGTATTCACGAGATTAACTATTGCATCCCTTTTTTCATCCCAATACACAGGTTGTGCTACTGGGAAAATACAATGCACAGGGCTTAGGTTCAGATCATGAATTAATGCTGAGATGTACCAAAGGGAAAGAATATGTCAAAGTCGTCATGCAAAATGGACGAATGATGGGCGCTGTCTTAATTGGTGAAACTGACTTAGAAGAAACATTTGAAAACTTGATTTTAAACCAGATGAATCTTTCATCATATGGAGAAGATCTGCTAGATCCAAATATTGATATAGAAGATTATTTCGACTAAAATGACAATTTCTTGGAGAACCACATAGAATTCTGTTTGAACACAAAAATCGTAAGTGAATAAAATGAACCACATTGAGGTAAAAAATATAGAAATGATAATGTTTTAGTATGAAAGCATTTTAGACTAATTTATTTACAGATATGTCAGAGAAATGTAAGATTGACCATAAATTATGTAATAAATCTTATTCATTTTGATGTTTTGTGATTTGGCTTTGGAGCAAATTTAGTTACAGCTAATTGTCATCTACTTAGCCAAAATGTACTGTAAATGTCAAAATAAGGCTATGGTTTCAGAAAGCTGAATATCAATATCTTACTTGCTGATATTATTTGAATTCTACAGCTGTTCATATAAATGTGAGAATATCTATAAATACAGTAACATGTTGCCATCAAAAAAGTACAACTACATATAGCAAGGCATAATTCAACAGAAAAAAATTATTTTCCCTTGTTTCATACTGTATTGTAAAATTATTCATGATCTTCCATTTTGAAAAGGCCTCAAATCTTTAGATGTAAGCTCTGAAAACATAGCTCCAAATGTATAAAATATCAAGAGTGTTTAAAAATTAAATTTCTGATTAACTGGAAAAAAAAAAGTGTATACATGCATAAAGTGTTCTTTTACCAGAAAGCACAGTAACATCATCTCAGGCGTCATCTATTTTCCTCTTCTTAGCCCCTGTGTTCTTAGTACCAGACTGCCGAAGCACGTTTGCAGCCTTCTTCTGGAAGTCACCCGAATTTTCTTGTCCCCCTTTTTCATCAGCTCGTTCAGAATGACAAGTTTGAGATGATTCAACCTACAAATAACAAAGCATGCATCCTGGTAAAAATTCAGCTGTTTGCTTTTGTCATGAGATTAATAATCTCTGCATATTCTTTCAGTATCAGTTAGCCCTTCAAGTGTCCAGGAGTCTGATTTTTATCTCCAAATTTCTTTTCAAATAAGACTCCTGTCTTGGATAAAAGGGGCTACGTTTCTCAGAGCAATCATCAAGAATACCTCAGTCTCAAGACACTTGCTTTCACAAGCTTGAAAGTACTTGGTTTATAATAGTGGTTTCCATCCTCTGGGGTAGCACAGACCTCTCCGCACTATTGATCACAACCAAAACTGGACCTTAAAGAAGATGGAAAACCCCAGTCTCTATAGGGCTGCTCTACATTCTTCCACTTAAAAGCACTACAGACTACAGAAAATAAAATGAGGTTTTCTGTCTTCTAAGCCCTGAATCTGAGACAGAAACTGACTTTTTTGTACCTCAGAGTGTATTGCAGAGAAGCATCTTACAGGTTTTCTAAGAGTTAAAAATGAACAGTTACCCTGAAACAGTTCTTGTCAGGCTTCTTCACTGGCATAGTGATAACATGCGTCTCACTGTTCAGAAGACTGGCTTTCGGTCCAATCTTCAAATACGAAATGGTAGCATATGCTGTGAAACTGTAGTCCTCTCTGCAGAAGATAAAGGCCAGCAATCAGAAAACTCTTGAAAGAGCCCCAAAAAACAAACAGGCTTGTAAAAGAAATAATTAAATGTGCAATAATGGAAAGTAACGCTTTGATAAAATATAAAACACAGAAGAATGCAAATAGTTCTGTGCTTTCACTTCAGCAAATGATTTCCTCCAATAGTCAATTAAAAATTTGGATGAAATGCCTGCAAAGATATTCTGTTGCAATTTACAAAGAGGAAACAGGCACACAGGCAACATGAAGGGACGTGCAGTGGGTATATACCTACTTTAGATACTGCTGTAGAAGAAAGTGTGCGATCATCTTCTCCAGCTCTTCACGCGGAAGCAGAGGAGCACTGACACCCGCCACTCTCAGTTTGGATGCACCCTTTCCCATCCAGGAATCCATCAGCTTCAGTGGAGTGAGTTTCTCATTCAGTTCCTCTGCCTGCTTCAGGATCTTGATGAGATCTCTGCAGTGCTCAGTTACGTTTTTTTTTTCATATGCTACAATCAGAGACATGGGTAAAACCAACTGCAATTTAGAAATGGGAGCAAGGCTAGCCTATCCTAAGTAGTTAGACTGGTTTAGAACCAGTTATCAATGTGAGCCACCCCACAATATGTTCTCAAATCTGTAAGACATTGTGGGAGTAACAGTGACATAAAGAAAATAACCTATCAGAAGGCCTGTGGTGTGCTCTAGGAACCAGAAGGTGTCACAGGAGAGCCCGCCTGTGCTAGTCATTAAGCAAAAATCTGCAAAGTAGGGCAAGTTCCTAGAAAAGATACCTTGTTACTAGCACTCTGATAGCTGCATCAGATTCTGGTTAATGTGGTCCATATAAGACAGTTACATATACACAAACCCATGTCTCCTGCTGCAGAATTCAAAATGAGGGGCTGGCGCTGTGACACAGCAGGTTAAAGCCCTGGCATCCCATCTGGGCACCGCTTCCAGTCCTTGCTGCTCCTCTTCCAATCCAGCTCTCTGCTATGGCCTGGGAAAGCAGTAGAAGATGGCCCAACTGTGGGGGCCCCTGCACGCATACGGGAGACAGGGAAGTCCCTGGCTTCGGTTCGGCAAAGCTCCAGCCATTGCAGCCATCTAGGGAGTGAACCAGTGGATGGAAGACCTCTCTCTGTCTCTACCTCTCTAACTATGTCTTTCAGATAAATAAAATCTTCAAAAAAGGAAATGAAAATGAAGGGAACTCTACCAACCAATACATCCAAACTCAGTAAGGCCTTGAATAAAGAACTCAAAAGGCTCTTAATATATGCACACAAGATGAAAAAATGGTAACAGTACAGCACCAAAACAATGCTCAGTGTCTTATGAAAAAAAAAAGATTCACTATAATCTGTTTTTTTTCTCCCTAGTTGGTAACTGTATAAAGTATTAGAGATATATCACAAGATTAGTACCCCCTGCACCCTTTAAGATTCATTTTCCTTATTTGGAAGGCAGAGTATCAGGGAGAGAAAGAGCTTCCATTCACTGGTTTAATCCCCAAATGGCCACAATGGGTCAGACTGAAGCTAGGAGCCCAGAGTTCCATCTGGATCTTCCGACAGGCCTATCAGGGGCCCACGTATTTGGGCCATCTTCCACCTCTCAGGCACTTCACCAAGCAGCTGCATTGGAAGCAGAGTAGCTAACTCAAACCAGCATTCCACTATGGGATGCTGGCCGGCTGCATCTTAATGCACTGTGCCACAATGCCTAACCCATCCTTTTCTTATATAATAGCGTTTTTATTCAGGAGAATTAAAATTTTGTTATTTTCTTAAAATTTTCACATATCCTCAATAAAGTAATATAAAATGTATATAACCATGTATGACTTTTCCTTTGACACACGTTTTTTCTTCAAGTTTGTTGTTATTTTTAATTCTAGAAAATTCTATTCAGACCTGGTTTAACCTTTTCACTCCATTTGGTTTGAAAAAACTAAGAACTTACAAATGTCTTTGCGGCAGTTATCACACATTTTGTTACATGCTTCTGAGTTCCATACTTCATCAAAATGTTGAGCTATCAGTACACGGCGACATCTGCAAACACATTTAGATATTACTGAATGACTGAGTAAGGTTTTAAAATTCCTATTTAGAATACATGGTTACTTACTACATTAGTTACCTACTGCTGCAAACTTACTACTACCTAAAACTTAGCAGCTTAAAACCACACAAATTTGTTATCTTAGATTTCTATAAATCAGAAGTCTACCATAGGCCTCACTGGATCCACATTAAGGTGTTAACAGGGCTGAATTTCTTCTGTGGTCCAGAGAAGAAACTGCTTCCTTTTTCTACTTTACAGAGACTACCTACATTCTTCAGCTCCTGGCTCCTTTCATCCATCTTCAGAACCAACAGCAGGCTGAACCAGCTCATCAGAACTCATCAGTCTTTCCTATTCCTTTTCCAGTTAGAAGGACCCTTTGACACCGTGCCCACCCAGATTATCCCAAATAATTTCCCCATTTTACTATCAGCTTTTATTCCACCTGCATCTAGTTTCTCTTTGCCATGTAAGGTAACAACACAGTTTGCAAGAACTGGGTCATGTATGTGTGGGGATCACTTTGTCCACTACATTTGATTTTCACCAGTGGTTCCTAAAAAACAATGCTGGAGCCAGTGTTGTGGCGGAGTGGTAAAGCCACCCCATGCAGTACTGGCATCCCATCTGGGCGTGCCAGTTAGTGTCCCGGCTCTCTGCTTATGGCCTGGGAAAGCAGTAGAAGATGGCCCAAATCTAAGACCTCTTTCTCTGCCTCTTCCCTCTCTCTGACTCTGCCTCTAAAATAAATAAAATAAATCTTTAAAAAACTTTAGTTTTTTTTTTTTTTTTTTTTTTTTTGACAGGCAGAGTGGACATTGAGAGAGAGACAGAGAGAAAGGTCTTCCTTTGCCGTTGGTTCACCCTCCAATGGCCGCCGCGGCCAGCACGCTGCGGCTGGCGCACCGCGCTGATCCGATGGCAGGAGCCAGGAGCCAGGTGCTTTTCCTGGTCTCCCATGGGGTGCAGGGCCCAAGCACCTGGGCCATCCTCCACTGCACTCCCTGGCCACAGCAGAGAGCTGGCCTGGAAGAGGGGCAACCGGGACAGAATCCGGCGCCCCAACCAGGACTAGAACCCGGTGTGCCGGCGCCACTAGGCGGAGGATTAGCCTAGTGAGCCGCGGCGCCGGCAGGTATTTTGCAACTGTTAAGAATCTTGACTATCTAGAAGTTGGTTTCAGTTTACAGTATCAATATTTGAGTCCAACCCCCAAACTATACTTCATGGCAATCCACTGGACTTTTGAAAAAATTCTCATTTTCTCATTTCTTATACCATCTATTAGAAATACTATCACCTGTCACTGATATTTTCTACCATTTCAACATGGGTGAGTTCTGATGTGATAAGCAATACAAGTACAAAGATGACTAAAAATAAGGCCAACAGGAAGTAATGTGGTCTAACTGTACCCATCCCACATAGATTTAAATTGGTTCCGATAAGGGAAACTTATCTTCAATTATTTCATCAGCATATCAGTTGGTAGGACTCTGAAAATGCAAATCTTAAAAACTTTTTCAAAATTATCAAAGGAGAGAGCTGTATACCAGTGCCAGAGGAAAAAATCTTCGACTTACTCTCAATATATACTAATCCTTCATTAAGAAAAGAGTGTTGAAGGATTATCTCATTCATTCATAGAGTTCGGGGGAGGATTGTGAAGGGAGACAGAGAGCAAGCAAGTATATTTTCCTGGATTAAGGTAAATCATACAGGTTCATGGATGGGTTTCTACTTTGAGACATCTCTAATGGATTTGTGCCTTTGTGCTACAATAAGGCATTTAAAAAGTACTCAAAGTGATGAAAGTCACATCATACTCTGTCATATTGTGTTTGTCTTTCACTGACAAAATGTTATAAAAAGTACATGACTTACTTGCTTATGTTTTGACAGTATGACACCATTTCATAAAGCTTCTGTTGTCCCACATTTTCCATGACCACCATGGAACTTATTCTGAATATATCTCCAAAGCCGTAATACAAAATACAGTCTGCTTTCGTGTCATCTCGACCTGTGGTGTGAGAAATCTTGAGACTGCATAATGACTTCTAAAAATTCAAAAACATGCAGAAATAATCTATGTAAAATTAGCTGCAACTGCTTAATGCTACATCTAGAAATTTTAGGGTTATGAAGGTTAACTTCTAACAGCTGCTCTCAAAATGAAAAAAAAAAAAGTCTATCAACAGCCAGCATTAACTTATGTCCATAAATTAATATTTAAGAAATGGACTTGACATCAGTAATTAAAAATTCAAATGGCAAAGGTGAATACCAAATTTTATTAGCTACAATTAGAAGGAAAGAATCCTAACACTCCAACAGAACATGAGTAGAATTTCTCCATATGAAAATGTGTAGAATTGCTAGAAGACTTAATTGTTCTGAAAATATTATCCAATAAAGATTAAAAGTACAAAATTATTAATTTATAATGTGCTTTCTAGAAAAGCTTGCTAAGAAATGACTTCAGGATTTGAGTTCCACATACCTGCACGTCCACTCTCTTGGTAGTAATTTTCCATGGATTTACTCATTGAATGGTGAATAACAAACCTCACATCTGGCTTGTCAATTCCCATACCAAATGCAACCGTTGCCACTACTACCTAAAATATTTTAACATTTTATAAGTTCATTAAGTCAAGTTTAAATATTTTTAAAGGTAAATTGGACTTCTATTGAAGAAATAATACTTAACCTGGATTTCATTGGCCGACCATCTGGTATGAACCTTAGTCTTATCTTCTGGTTCCATATTGGCATGGTAAGCACCTGCATGAATTCCCAGATTCTGCAAACTAACCGTAACTTGTTCAGAGTCTTTCTGAGAAAAGCAATATATGATTCCTGCAGTAAAATATGTCCAGCTGTTATATATGTGTATGGTACATTCCTAGAAGATACTTTTAATACATACACCCAAGTTAATGCACAGATGGAAAAAAGAATTGTGAAAAAAGCAAAGGCCTTAGGCATATATTGACTTTTTGGTATAATTCAAGAGTTAATCATCAGCTTGCTCTGAAGCAGGAATAAGCCCTGAGCCACCAGTTCTGGTTCTCATTACCTCTTCTCTCTCTCCAACTTTATCTCCCACTACATAGTATTTCTCAAAATGAAGTCCCACAGCTCCATGTTAACAGTATGCTGTGAAAAGAGTTTCAAATGCACATGAGTTCTGGGAACACTGGATTCAACAGAGGTACACAGGCTTCTATGTTCAGGGCTCGCTGGAGCTTCTAATGGCTGACAGTGCCTGTGCAGCTTTTCTCAAACTTACTTGACCCTGGAACTCCTTTTGCCCAGGGCAGTTGTTACTACCTACTGGAAATCTGCAGAACAGTTTTGAAATAAGACTTTTTCACCAACTCTTTGCTTCAGTAACATTTGTCTAGTAATGAACTCTGGGACACATAAAACTCCATCTGTGGATAACTGATTCAACATGTACTGTTTATTCAGTATGTCTAATTTTATATCCTTTTAGAACTTCAGTGCTTAACCGTCTTATCATACACACCAGATACTTAATAAAATACATGCCACTAATAATTAACAGTCATTTATCTGTTCTAAAATAAAGCATACAAAAGCAAAAATAAAATCAGATAATTCTATGACTCATAGTCTGTGTCACACCATTTCTAGGATCACCAAGTGGACTAATTTTTATTGACAATGCTTTTAAGTATCTTGTTCCAAACATTAATATTTTCAGATGAGTCATTTACCAGTAATAATTATCAGGGTAATAACTTTTGGAAAATTATCTCTAAGCCTCTACAACTGATTTGTCTTTCGTTTTACCTGATTGTCCTTTGTATCGCCCATTAATGAGCTTTACAATATCCTCAATAAAATCTTCAGTGTTTGAGGGCTTCTGCCGAACCTAAACAAAAAAAAATTAAAAAAAAAAAAAAAAAAAAAAAAAAAACAAGAAAAGCAGCTTAATATGTAACATTCAAGGTAAAATTCTTTCATGGTGGGTGTAGTGTTTTCTTCTGTTACTGTTTCAGTTGCCTGACAGGAGTCAACCCATCTGACTGCCATCTCCCAGACCCCCTTCTTCAGCCTTGTTTTTTAATTGACAAGAGATGAAGAAACAGAGCAGCAAATAACTTGTAAAGCCAAAACTTTACTTTCTGATGCTACTTTTACAAAACCATTAATATACTACATAAGGAAATGTTCAGTGAAACCTCAGAAAATGATTAAGTCTATTCTTTAAGGGTTTAGAAAGAAAACAGAGCTGTTAGGTAATTGTATTTTCAGTTGTATGTATCTATAAATAGGGAGCATTGGCATATTAATATTTCTATTATTAACTAATTTCAACAGAGATGTCATAAGGGTTCTCAATTACCTCTTTCCCTGTACAAGAAAGAATGTATGTAAATTTAACAAATACATGTGACTTGCTCATAACTCATGAAAGACCTTATCACTCAACAAGGTGATATTTTCTATTTAACAAATGATTATGCAGCAAAATAGTTACATAAGAGTCTGCTTCTAAATACCTCCTGATGTTAACAGCTTTTATACGTAGTTAACTGTTACCACATAAATGAACATAAAATGAAAATGTATAACCTTACAAAACCAATACACTGACATAAAGTTACTTACCTCATAATAAAGATTGGGCCGATTAAAAGAAGCTGTAAAAGTTAAGCACTTTTCAACACACAAAATTTTCTGAGCATCCTTTAAAACGTGATTTGTTGCAGTTGCAGTCAGCCCAATTAGTGATGTGTTAGGGAACTGGCGCTTTAAGATACCAAGTGCTTTATAATCTGAAACAAACAAACAGAGTGGTCCTGTATCTGTCCCGTAGGGTTTCTTTTTTTTTCTTTCTTTCTTTTTTTTTTTTTTTTTTCTCCGGGCCCGGCAGAGTGGACAGTGAGAGAGACAGAGAGAAAGGTCTTCCTTTGCCGTTGGTTCACCCTCCAATGGCCGGCGCCCTGCAGCCAGCGCACCACGCTGATCCGATGGCAGGAGCCAGGTACTTATCCTGGTCTCCCATGGGGTGAAGGGCCCAAGTACTTGGGCCATCCTCCACTGCACTCCGGGCCACAGCAGAGAGCTGGCCTGGAAGAGGGGCAACCGGGACAGAATCCGGCGCCCCGACCAGGACTAGAACCCGGTGTGCTGGCGCCGCAAGGCGGAAGATTAGCCTAGTGAGCCGCGGCGCCAGCTCCTGTAGGGTTTCTAACAAAAACTTTTAACATTATGCAGATGATGGCTATTTTCATTTCAATTCCATAGCTACTTGTAAATTTACAGGATTATACAAGATGAGTGTCTTTAAGAGATTTTCAGGTTTTTGAGTATTTGTATAGGTTTTACTGGTTGAACTTTCCCAATCCAAAAAATAGGAAATCCAGAATGCTCGGAAGCCTGGAACATTTTGAAAATCTGCATGACATTTTTCAGCAGAACATGCAAATAGTTTGATTTTGGAGCATTTTCAGATTTTATGGAGTAAGGGCCATTCAACATGTACTTTTCTTCAGAAACACTGTTGGGCACATGTGGAACTTGCTATTGGAGGAAGGAATACTAAACATCCCATCAGGCTGTGCACTGGTCTGTACTTACTGAATGGTGTATTCAAGAGGCAGCAAGAAAACTTGTAGTATTTGAATCTATCACAGCTGACAAAAGATAAAAGAGGCCATTAGCCAAAACCCTTCTGCCACCTGCTATCATCCAAGAGTATAAAGCTCAGATGAAGGAAGCCTTGGGGAACACACCACTTTTGACATAATCTGTTTCAAGGAAATCCTTTTGGGTTCATGTTTATTATACAAATTTAAAGTATCAGTTAATATGTCCTACATTTCCCTAAGAGGAAAGTGGGGGGAAAATGTGGTAGAAACTGTTAGATGCTAAGGTAGAGAACTATTATGAAAACAAGATAAAGTAGCTACTTGGGAGGCTGTGCAGATTTTAACAAGGTAATAGTTAGATCTTGAAGCATAATAAATTGACTGTAAATGGGAGAAGAAAACCATCAGACACAGGTTAAAACACACTTGTTGGCCGGCGCCACGGCTCAATAGGCTAATCCTCCGCCTTGTGGCTCCAGCACACAGGGTTCTAGTCCCAGTTGCCCCTCTTCCAGGCCAGCTCTCTGCTGTGGCCCGGGAGTGCAGTGGAGGATGGTCCAAGTGCTTGGGCCCTGCACTTGCATGGGAGACCAGGAGAAGCACCTGGCTCCTGGGTTTGGATCAGCATGGTGCACCGGCCGCAGCGCGCCGGCCACAGCAGCCATTGGAGAGTGAACCAACGGTAAAGGAAGACCTTTCTCTCTCTCTCACTGTCCACTCTGCCTGTCAAAAAATAAATAAATAAATAAAATTTAAAAAAATAAAACACACTTGTAATACACTGGTATGAAACTGCAGCATGTTAGATACAGCAAGCAATTGGTAGGGCTGGGTCACGGCGTGTTGTGCGGGCTGATCTAGCATCAAATCCATTAAGCTGGGATTTCTAACTCTACTTCCCAGAATCCCCTTCCCTGTATGGTTCCAAGTTAGGACTGACCCAAAAGAAGAACTTGTGCAATCTGGGAAGCAGAAGTGGATGAGCTGTTGTTGCTCCTTATGGGTCTGTTATTACTCCTTCGTGGGTTTTCTAGGCAGACAGAATGATGGACAGATGCAGAAAGGCTTGGGCTATTTAGCCCACCCTAGTTCTTTTCCACTCTTCATTACAGTTCTTGTCAACTGCAGGCCTTACAGCAAATCACCTCCTGCCTTAGATGGGACTAGTTAAGACCTCTGGACTTAATATTTGAAGCATACAGAGAAGCTTCTGCATAGTCTGAGTTAGGAAGTAGCATGATTTGCATTTGGAAAAGATCACTTTGGTTAATGTGAGAAAGAACTGTGAAAGGAAATGCTGGAATCAAAGACTAGTTAGGAAGTTACTCTAGTAGACGGGAAGAAAGGAGTCCAGGTGGACTTGAGAGACAGCAGTTCAAAGAGAGGAGGGTGAGCAGAGCAAAAGGACTGAGTGCAAGACTGGATCTGCAGAAACAGGATACATCAAGGATGATGAGCTGTCCGTGAAGAGACTTTTTCTCAGCCGCACCTCTACCCTTCCACATTCTATTTGGTGATCCAAGAGGGACTCTGCATACAACATGTCAGCGTTGCCAGCTGGCCCCAGTGTACAGACCAGAAAGCTGAAGGGAAAAAAAAGGGCTTGCTCCTTCCAGTGGACAGCCTACCCTCCCATGAGTGTCACCCCAGTGAGGCTACTTCATCTCCAGCACGGTCAGGCGCAGCAGCTGAATGCCTGCAAGTTTCTCCAACTGTTGGGAAACCAGCTTTTCCATGGTGCACAGCTTAGCCTCTGCCTGGAGGCTCCAGCACAGGGGCTTGGAGGGTCTGGTCCACAAGGCCCCTCTGCTGAGCTCCTCAGTCTTAGTTCCAACCTTTTCTTTTGCTCCATCAGCCCTAAGGATGGTAGTTGCTTTTGCCAGTCTTAACCTTTACAGAATCTTAGTTTCTTTTGCTTTTTTAAGATAGCCATTCTTAGCTATCAATTCTGTGTGTGCCTGTGTGTGTGTGTGTGTATAACTGTGTTCAAATAACTGATAAGGTTTCTGTCTCTTGGACAGACCCTGAATAGTAGAGATACCTGCTAAGATTTTGGCTTGAACAAATGTGTATTTGAAAGATTTTCTAGGGGAAGAATGAAGGGAAAAATTGATTGGGAGGAAGAAAAGTAGAGGAACAAAAGGTAGGAGAGGAAGAAAATCAAAAGTTATCTGTCAGGACACCTGAGAGACTCACAGGGTAAACAGTGATTCCCAGACACAGAAGAGAAGAAAGAATTTTTTGGGGAGGGGATAAATTTAGTTCTGGTCATGCTAAATTTAGATACACGTTTCCAATAAACAATTAGGGATATGAATCAAAGTCATGGTAATACATAACCCGTGGTCATAACTTAGTGATCAAGCTACTCACATGAAAATACCAGGGCAAAAGTCATGAATCAGAAAGCTTCAGGGGGCTGCAGTTACAACTGTGTGCAGTAATCAGATAGCAGCATCCTTAACAGTTCATAACCTGCCCACAGCACTGAAATCCAAACTGAAAAACAGAAAGTGCTGCAAATAATTCTGAATTTAGAGAATTCAGTCTTCAGGCTGCACACTAGTCCTGAAGAAATGTTAAAAAAAGTGAAGACTGGGGCCGGCGCTGTGGCACAGCGGGTTGAAAACTTGGCCAGAAGCGCCAGCATCCCATATGGGTGCCGGTTCTAGTTCCAGCTGCTCCTCTTCCAATCCAGGTCTCTGCTATGGCCTGGGAAAGCAACAGAAGATGGCCCAAGTCCTTGGACCCCTGCACCCATGTGGGAGACCTGAAGGAGGCTCCTCACTCCTAGCTTTGGATCAGCTCAGCTCCGGCCAGAACAGCCATCTGGGGAGTGAACCATCAAACGGAAGACCTCTCTCTCTCTGCCTCTCCTCTCTCTGTGTAATTCTGACTTTCAAATAAATAAATAAATCTTTAAAAAAAAAAAGTACAGACTTAGCTCAGACCCCAGGGGATCATTAATAGTTAAGGTAGAGATAAGGAAAAAAGAGCAGAGAGAATGGAAAGGACAGACATTCAAGGGCGTATCTGACAGTGACCAAGGGAGGAGAAAGCAGCAAGGGGAAAGGTGCAGAGTACAAAATACTGCTGAGAGTGAGAAGAGGAAGGAAGACAGCCAGTGGATTAAGTGTTGGGAGGCAGACTCCTGGTGACCACTTTCTTAGTGGAGTGGTGGAGGCTGAAGCATGAGTTAATATGTTCAAAAGGGAGAAAGGTGAGAAGAAGAGGTGGTAAGTTGAAAAGTTGGAAGGGAAAAGAATAGGAAAATAACCATAAAGGAATGGAAAAGTTCAGAAAGGTGTTTTAGTTCCTGTTTCTATTTTTAGGGAGGGGATAAATGAGACTAAGGGTACAGGAGGAAGTTGGCAGAACACAATCTTACACAGGCAGGAATGGGCGGGCAAAGGGTGACCATGATGAGGGACAGCAGCAATGGAGAAATAAGCAGGTATAGCCGGCGCCGTGGCTCACTAGGCTAATCCTCCGCCTAGCGGCGCCGGCACACCGGGTTCTAGTCCCGGTCGGGGCACCGGATTCTGTCCCGGTTGCCCCTCTTCCAGGCCAGCTCTCTGCTGTGGCCAGGGAGTGCAGTGGAGGATGGCCCAGGTGCTTGGGCCCTGCACCCCATGGGAGACCAGGAAAAGCACCTGGCTCCTGGCTCCTGCCATCGGATCAGCGTGGTGCACCTGCCGCAGCGCGCCGACCGCAGCGGCCACTGGAGGGTGAACCAACGGCAAAAGGAAGACCTTTCTCTCTGTCTCTCTCTCTCACTGTCCACTCTGCCTGTAAAAAAAAAAAAAAAAAAAAAAAAAAGAAAAAGAAAAAGAAATAAGCAGGTATAACAGAGGATCCTGGGAAGTGCTAATGAGTGAGGGAGGATCCAGAAGGAAAGACCTGATGCCACGGTTCTCAACATTTCTCAGAGAACAATTCTTAACAGCTTACTTCAAACCAGAGCCACAGGATTAGGATGGTGGGGTGAAGAAAAGCATTACTATAGTATGTCCCAGAACTTAAACATGAAAGAGTTGGGTGTGGGGCCAGCGCTGTGGTACAGCAGGTTAGCTGCCATCTGTGCTGTTGTCAAGTTCAAGTCCCAGCTGCTCCACTTCTGATCTACCTCCCTGGTAATATGCCTGGGAAACCAGAGGAAGATGGCCCAATGTGGGAGACCTGGAAGAAGCTCCAAACTCCTGCCTTCAGAACACCCCAGCTTCAGCAGCTGTGGCCATTTGGGGAGTGAACCAGCAGATGAAAGACCTCTCTCTGTCTCTCTGCCTTTGCCTCTGCCTCTCTGTAACTCTTTCAAATAAATAGTTTAAAAAAAAAAAAAAAAAGAGTTGGGTGTAGATATTAAACACACACAGAGTTACGACTAAAGACAACTTCAAAGCAGGTACAAATTCCTCAGACACATGCAGGAGGGCCTAGCGGTCATAAAGGACACCAGATGTGTGATACTGGCTAATGAACAGAAGTTTCAAAGGATGAAGGCAATTGCACCAAACATTATAGTGGGGGAACTGAGGAGATGAAAGACTGCTTCCTGGCCTTCTTCAGATGAACTCAAGACAAAATGAGTTATACCTACCTGATAAGATAATTTTAATGGAAGCAGGGATTCCCAAAATGTCATTGTGAAAATAAAATACCATGGTCTGCACATTAATGGAGTTTCTAGATAAAACAAATGCACATACCAGGTCTGAAATCATGTCCCCATTGACTACAGCAGTGAACTTCATCCACAGCAATTCGAGTAAATCTCCTAGCTTCATAGGCTTTCTCTAGTCTTGACATAAACATTTTGCTTTTTGCAATTTTCTCTGGAGTCACATAAATTAGCTTTAACTTGGAGTTTTTATTGACCATTTCAGCATGAACCCATTTCACATGCTCCTATTTAAGAGGTAAAATAGACACAATGATAGTAGAACTACGTGGTAAAGGAAGACGTCCATTATTCAAAGCAACAGCCTCGGGCTCTTCAAGAAGCAGCTGCTTGGTTCATTAAAAGTGAAACCATGTTCCAGTACTGAATTTCAAGGCAGTGTGCAAACAGAATTCTGCTTACTTTAATCTAAATTGTACATAAGAGAATAATTTGACTTGACAAAATAAGACAACATGAAAAGATACTTCAATAAGATTATGAAGGCATAATCCTAAATTGTTCATACTCGATTCCCAAATGTGAGTTAAATCCAATAATTATAATCATAAAGGTGGGATTTACACAGTTATCTCTTTAATCTCATTTAGCACCTTTAATGATGCTTAAAAATCTACTTATATCTTTATTCATAAATATGAAGACAATGAATAAGGTTTCATAAAGTATCATTAATTCAGTTATTATTTTTAATACACATCTTACAGTTAAAATTTTTCACCACTGCAGCAAAGAAGCACTTTGTTAACCCCTGGAGGTATGCTAAAGTACATATACTCTGTAACCTAACTTTCTGAACAGTAGTGACAAGGCATGAGCTTGTAACTATTGGCAGCTTTCTAAGCTATTACTACTATATTTATATATCTATATATATAAATACATAAATATAAATATTTATAAATATATAAATATTGAGAAATATTTATAAATATAAATATATATTTGCTTATATTACTACTAAAAAATCAAAATACAATCCAGCTTTCAGATCTATCTAAAAGGAATAAATTCAACATCTCAACAATGCAATCAGGTAGACAGAAAATATAGGAAGCTACAAGGACAATCTGTTTTTTCCAACAAATAAGATACATATGGGAACCTATGTATTTATCAAACATAATGCAAGAATATTATTTGGAAATTAAAAAAACAAACAACAGGACAGAGGAGCAGGCATTTGTCACATTGGTTGGGAGGGGGAAAGGAGGTGTTATGGCACAGCAGGTTAAGCTACCTGCAATGCCCACAGCCCATGTGAGCACCAGTTCAGGTTCTAGCTGCTCCACTTCCCATTTAGCTCCTGCTGAAGTGCCTGGGAAAGCAGTGGATGATGGCCCACGCAGCAGAATATGGCCCAAGTTCTTGAGCCCCTGCCACTCGCAGGGGAGACCTGGATGGAATTCCAGGCTCCTGGCTTTGGCCTGGCCCAGCCCAGACCCAGCCACTGCAGCCATTTGTGAAGTGAACCAATGGATGGAAGATGGATCTCTCTTTCTCCCCTCTCTCTCTCTCTTCTGCAATTTGCCTTCCAAAAAAATAAAATACATCTTTTTTTTTTTTTTTTTTTTTTGACAGGCAGAGTGGATAGTGAGAGAGAGACAGAGAGAAAGGTCTTCTTTTGCCGTTGGTTCACCCTCCAATGGCCGCCACGGCTGGTGCGCTGCAGCCGGTGCACAGCGCTGATCCGAAGGCAGGAGCCAGGTGCTTCTCCTGGTCTCCCATGGGGTGCAGGGCCCAAGCACTTGGGCCATCCTCCACTGCCTTCCCGGGCCACAGGAGAGAGCTGGCCTGGAAGAGGGGCAACCAGGACAGAATCTGGCGCCCCGACCGGGACTAGAACCCGGTGTGCGGCGCAGCTAGGTGGAGGATTAGCCTATTGAGCCGTGGTGCCGGCCAAAATACATCTCTTTAAAAAAAAAAAAAAAAAGGCACTGGATGGGATACCTACATCCCACGTCAGAATGCCTGGGTTTGAGTCTTGGCTCTACTGCCTGTTGATGCACACTCCAAGGGCAGTAGTGATGGCTTCAGTAGCTGGGCGCCTGCCACCCACTCAGTTCCTGGATCCCAGGCATTTGGAGAATGAACCAGCAGATGGGAGCTCTGTCTGCCTGCCTGCCTCTGTCTCTCAAACAAATAAAGTGAAATTTTTTTTAAGTGAAAGAAAAATCTGAAGATTTTATTTGATGATCTTAAGAATTTTATATTAAAGTGTTTAGATAGGAGAACAGCACTGCACTTATTTTTTTCTTTGTAAATCAGATTTATATTAACGAATTTACAATTAAAATATGATGTCTGAGATTTGTGAAATGGGACAGGGCAGGGAAATTTGCAGGAATACACATGAAAAACGACTGGCTATACTTTGATAAATGTTGGAGGAAGTAATGAGAACATCACAGGTTTTATACTATTTCTCTAAATTTGAAGACTTCAATAATAGGTTTATGAAAAATGCCTTATTCTACAAATAACAGGTAAGATATTCCATTCTACAAAAGAAGAAATTCCACATGTATAGGGTAGTTCTTAGACATTTTTTTTTAATTATACTGTGCAATTAGAAATTCTCCCTTATTATTTTAGCTCACAGGACATACAAAAACAGGGAGTGGGCCAGAACTAGCCATGAGCAATAGTCTGCCACTCCTAATATAAAGAGTTCAGTTCATGATTTCCTAAATAATACAACCGTAGCTCAGAATCTTACTTCAGTGAAGATTTTAAACAGGAAAAAAAAAAAAACACATAAGAGGCGGCATACCTTAGAACTGGAAGCATTTAACATGGTTGCTGAAACTCCCAACTGTTTTAAAACCATTAACTGGTCTTCCATAAGAGAGATCAATGGGCAAATCACGAGAGTAAAACCTAAAAGAGAAAAAACATCGACTTCAAACTTCACACCACCACCAGAATGAGTCACATTCTCCTTCTTCAGAGTAACTTGTGGGTACCATCCATCAGTTCAGACTAGTTTCCAGTGCTACTTAATGACTACATGAACATGCAAGGCAAGTATAAACCAAACAGATACAAGACTGAACAGAAATCTCTAAGCTATTCAATCCTATAGACAGGCCGCTGTTCCCTGCTGATGACTTGAGAAAGCAGCAGAAGAATGACCCAAGTTCTTGCACCCCCACATCCACATGGGATGAGGCTCATCCAGATGGCTCCTGACTCCTGGCTTCAACATGGCCCAGCCAGGCCCTGACCCTTGCAGCCATTTCGGGAGCAAGTAGATGGAAGATTTCTACCTCTCCCTCTCTAACTCTGCCTTTCAAATAAATAGAATACATCTTTTTTTTTTTTCTTTTAAAGGCACCTGTTAACATTTTGAAGTGATTTGAATGACTAATATCCTACCACTTTTATCAATCAGTATTGGTAATCTCAGGAAAAAAAATGTAAGTCAAATACTAAACAGATAGATCAGGAGAAAATTATCACAAAGCTTTCCAAAGAAAAGACAGAGCCTGCATAATTAAGGATGATAATTACATGTTTATTCTTCTACTTTTTGCACCACATTAATTTATTCTGAGCAGAAGTCAGAAGTTTATTGACTACGTGAAATTTTAGTAGTACATTCCCATTATCTTATAAATGAAATTGTCCATAAACACAAGAGCTATTCTACATTGTTTCAACTATATGCCTTTCTAATTCTGCGGCTTGTTCCATACAATACCTCTGGTGGAGAGCTGATATGTTTAAAAATATACACTCAGTGGGGGCTGCCCTTGTAGTGCAGTCGGGTAAGCTGCCATCTGCAACACTAGCATCCCCTATCAGAGTGCTGATTTGAGCACCCTGGCTACTCTGCTTCCAACACACCAGGGAAAGCAGTAGAAAATGACCCAAGTTCTTTTTTCCTGGCAACCCACGTGGGAAACCAGAGTTCCTAGCTCTTGGCATCAGCCTGGCCCAGAAATGCTGTTGTAGTCATTCAGATAGAAGACCTCCCTCTCTCTTTGTCCATCTCTCTCTCTCTCTGTTGTTCTGCCTTTCAATACACCTTGGGGGGGGGCACTGGGGAGGGATTAAGCCATAAAGACCCCGCCCTTGTGAATAGCACCAGCAGCTTGAAACCCAGGGCTGCGAGGACATCTTCAGGAGAGAGCACAGCTGCCTCTCTCCTCTCCCCTCCCCTGGGACAGGGGCATGCAAGGTAGGGAACACAGGCTCATTACAAAGACTCTGGGGAAAGTGGCACACACAGGTTGCACCCACCCTGCTGGTAGGTGCCAGGTGACCCTTTCAGTACTTCTTAAACTATGAGTTGCCAACATTTAGATTAAGAAAATTAAGAGATTGAAGGCAGTGCCCTTCCCTTCCACTGTCTGTCATGAGAGGTTACAACAAGAAGGCACCATCTAGGAGAAACAGGCCCTCACTAGACTCAACCTGCTCAACTGATTTTGGACTTCCCAGCCTCAAAACTGTGAGCAGTAACTTTCATTGTTTGTAGATCACCTAGTCTAAGGTGTTTTGTTACAGCAGCTCAAACAAAGACAACACTGGATTTAAGATTCTCTCTCTTCCTCTCCACTGAGCCGTTCTTTTCCAGGATGTCCCACATTCATCAGCTCTGTTCCTCAACACCAACTCCGTTCCAAATCATTGCTATGTGGTCTCCACCAACTCTTTGGCTGAAATTCTTCTAGCCCAGGTTGGAAATGAGTCCCATGTCATAAAACCCAGTGAACTTCTAAGTTCTTATATTTTATTTAACCTTTTGTCAACAGCATCACTTCTGACCACTCCTTTCTGTAGGCTTCTAATAACACCACACTCTCTGGATTCTCCTCCTACACACTGCTACTGCTTCTTGCTCTAGGAGCTGCTCTGGTTTCTCCTGTAGGCCTTCCTCTCTTCTCATTCCGCTTCAGCTAACAAAAATCACTCCCATGGCTTCAACGGCCATTTCCACACTAACAGGCACCAGCTTATCTAACTCAGTCTCTCTCACCCAAGCTCTACAACCAAACATTCTCCTACTCCAGAACAGTTCCTCCGGGATGTCTTTTGGTGTCATAAATTCATCATGTTCCAAAACGAAGTCATCATCTTTTGTCGCAATTCCCAAGTTTTTTCTCCAGTGTACCCTTTTCCAGTCAACAGCCTCGCTATCTGTCCAAGCTTAAAATCTGGCATCGTTTTTTACTATACCCTTTTCCTCCCCCTCCCACCCAATAACGAGTCTCACTTAATCTACCACCGCCTAAATACTGTTGGAATCTTCCCAGGTGTTGGAATTATTTTTCTACACCACAAAGTAGTAAGTCTCTTAACTGCATAAAACCCTTCAATGGTTTTCTGCAAATCTACAGACATTTATAAAAGAGCTTTACAGGTGCCAGTGTTGTGGTACAACAGATAAAGGCACACCTGCCACCCTGGCATCGCATATGGGTACCATTTTGTGTCCTGGCTGCTCCACGTCAGATCCAGCTCCCTCCTAATGCATGGGAAAAGCAGTGGAAAACAAGCCAAGTGCTTGGGCACCTGCACGCACATGGGAGAAATGGAAGAAGCTCCTGGTTTTGGCTTGGTTCAACCCCGGCTCTCTCTCTGTAACTCAAATAATAAATAAATCTTAAAAAAATAAAAAATAAACAAACAAATAAAATAAAATTAGAAGTCCTGTGTAAAGGCATGAAAAAAACATTTTCAGACTCTTCCTGTATGTCTTACATCTACCATGCTGGAATTCCTCTGGGTGATTGATTACACAACCCCATGCATGTTCTCTTTTTTTTTTTTTTTTTTTTTTTTTTTTTTTTTTTTTTTGACAGGCAGAGTGGACAGTGAGAGAGAGAGACAGAGAGAAAGGTCTTCCTTTGCCGTTGGTTCACCCTCCAATGGCCGCCGCGGCCGGCGCGCTGCGGCCGGCGCAGCGCGCTGATCCGATGGCAGGAGCCAGGAGCCAGGTGCTTTTCCTGGTCTCCCATGGGGTGCAGGGCCCAAGCACCTGGGCCATCCTCCACTGCACTCCCTGGCCACAGCAGAGGGCTGGCCTGGAAGAGGGGCAACCGGGACAGAATCCGGCGCCCCGACCGGGACTAGAACCCGGTGTGCCGGCGCCGCTAGGCGGAGGATTAGCCTAGTGAGCCGCGGCGCCGGCCGCATGTTCTCTTGCTTTTGGATCTCAAATGTTCCTCCCCTGCATGAACATCCTTGCTTCCTCTCCTGTCCCTTTTGCCTGCCTACTTAGCCTTTAGCTCTAAGCTCAAGACAGCTTACTCTGAAAGCCTCTAGACTAGATGGTTGCCCTAATGAATTCCCTACTAAAATTTTTATCCCAAATTCATTGTTAACTGCTGAAAATTACCTGTATTCTCTAGACAAGGAGTCAGCAAACTAAGCACGGCTGTCTTACAAAGTTCGAAAGGAACACAGCCACACTCATTTGTTTGCATACAGTCTGGCTGCTTTCATGCTACACGGCAGAACTGAGTAGTTGCCACAGACTATATGAACCACAAAGCCTATAATATTTACCATTTGGCTCTTTAAGAAAATGTTTCGTGAGGTGGGCATTTGGCATTGTGCTTAAGACACCCACATCCCATTTCTAACGACCTGGTTTCTCCTCCTGGCTCCAATTCCAATTCCAGCTTCCTACTAATATGCAATCAAGGGAGGCAGCAGTTGATGGCTCAAGTACTTACAACCCTGCCACCTACATGGGGGAACTGGGATCGAGTCCCAGGCTCCTAGCTTCAGCTTAGTCCAACCTCAGCTACTGTATGCATTTGCAGAGAGAACGAGTAGATGGAAAATCTGTCTCTGCTTTCCAGTAAATAAAATAAATACATAAATTTTTAAAGAAAGGTAACATCTGTTGACCCCTAGTCTCTCCCCTAGTGACTCACCAGTTAGCAGCATCAGTACCACCAGGGAGCTAGTTAAAAACAGAGTATCTTGAGTCTCACATTCCATAGAGCCTACATATTATTGACTCCTCAGGTGAGTCCTACACATGGAAGTCTGAAAAAGCACCACTCCTCACTAAGTTCTATTAAAAACTAACCCCTGCCCATTCTGCATGTGGCTTACTACCATATCTCCAGAGCTGGACACTCAGCACACAAGCCACAAAGATCTGAGACTAGGATTCAGATCTCCCAATTTCTTTTCTAGTGTCTATTTCCAATAAAATGTTTTCAAATTACATTCCAGGAACCAGATAAAATTAATATTTCCATAACTTTTTAACATTTCCCCCTTTAAGTCCATCTTTTAATATTTACTAACATAGAGATAAAACAAAAGTACCCTTGTTTTTTTCACAGGTATGGCTAAAAATTACTTTTCAAAGAATTAAACTACATGAAGACAAATCATTTGACCTTAAAATTATCTTCACTAACACATACCATCTGAACACAATGCCGGTAACTGGTAACATAAGCTCTTTCCACCTCCTGTAGGCATAACAAGAAATACCTCCTTTCCAGCCATTGTGGCATTAATAGTTTCAAGCTGAAGTTGCCTGAACTTCTGGAGTCTAAAGGTATTTTGTAGAGTATCTTTAACTCTTCCAGACCATGGAAAATCTAAAAACAGGAAAAACAAGCTATAAATATCACAATTATTAGGATTATATATGTGACAAAAACTTGAATGTGACAAAAATAAAAAAATACATAAGACTTTTATTACTTATGGCCCATTAAACTTTTGTAATAATTTTCAGATTAATATGTCTCACTAAGCTAAGCAAAACAAAAACAAACTAGATGATACATTCAAAGAAACACCATATCTTTATAAAAATATAAACTTTTGCTGGTTGAAAATTAACCCACATTGAAGATAAGGTGTTGGATCAGGTATCTGAAAAACCATGTGGGGGCCAGCGCTGTGGCACAGCGGGTTGAAGCCCTGGCCTGAAGCGCCGGCATCCCATATTGGCACCGGTTCTAGTTCCAGCTGTTCCACTTCTGATCCAGCTCTCTGCTATGGCCTGAGACAGCAGTAAAGGATGGCTGAAGTCCTTGGGCCCCTGCACCCACACAGGAGACCCAGAAGAAGCTCCTGGCTCCTGGCTTCAGATCGACACAGCTCAGGCCATTGCGGCCATCTAGGGAGCAAACAAGTGGATGGAAGACCTCTTTCTCTGTTTCTACTTCTCTCTGTAACTTTCTTTCAAATACGTAAAAGAAATCTTAAAAAAAAAAAAAAAAAAAGAAAGAAAAACCATGTGAATGTTGATCAGGAATTAACAGCATAATAAAAACGTCAACTATCATAAACAAAGATAATTATCTGGAATGTTTGGTGTAAATATCTTGTTTCGAAAAGAATCACAGGAAAACAGTGACCACAAAAGCACTGCAATTCATTCTGGATTGAAACTGTCATGTTATAATTTACGACATACATCATGTCTGATTCTTTTCGATCAAAAGTGGTTTGTTTGGGACCGGTGTTGTGGCACAGCAGGTAAAGCTGCCACCTTCAAAACCAGCATCCCATATGGTCACAGGTTTGAGTTCCAGTTGTACCCCTGCTAATACACCTGGGAAAGCATCAGAAGATGGTCCAAGTGCTTGGTCTCCTGCACCCATGTGGGAAACCCAGAAGAAGCTCCTGGCTCCTTGCTTTGGATCGGCCCAGCTCTGGCCATTGAGGCTGTTTGAGGAGTGAACCAGCAGATGGAAGACCTCTCTGTCTCTCCGTTACTCTGCCTCTCAAATAAATAAATAAATAAATCTCAAAAAAATAAAAGAATGGTTTGTTCACTAGGGCTGAAAAAATAACTAGATTTTGACAAGGAGTCTGGATAATTTTTTAATTACCTTTTTAGTTAAAACTTAGAAAATTTAGTCAAAATGCATGTTTTATTTTCCAAGCAGTGATCAATGTTGCTAGAACCATATTGTGACAAAGATTAAGTCCAAATAATAAAAGTTACCATTAAAAAGACTAGAGAATGCTGGTAACAAACGGCCTGTGAGCATCCCCATCCACTGAAGGAATGGCCAGTCTCACTTGAGCCTACCAGAAAACACACACCCATGTAGAATGACTTAATTCTAGTTTAAAAAAAGAAGAAACAAAATCAGTAAAGAAAAAAAAGCAAACCTTCTTTATTCCAAGTGGCAGGTGAAGAATCACACTCGTTGCTGGCCCCAGCACTGGAATCCTCTAAACACTGCTTTATTTTCTTTGTTAGGACTGTTTTCTTCTGAATAAGCTCTTGCTGCCTTTCCATAAGTTCTTGAATCTGAATGTCAACTGCATGTAGCTCACTGGTTACAGAATCCAGTTCCTCGGTTAGAGCTATTGGGGTGGGACAGGGAGGATATAAAATGAGTGGACAGAATTAATTGCAAGTTATATGTCGCTATAGATTCCTGGATTTTCTTTACCATTTAAACTACACACAAACTTAAAGGAGAATAGCAGAGTGCACAAGGACCTGGGTTACTCTCAGATCCACCTCTTACACGCCAAGTGATCTCAGGCAAAATACAAACCTGTACCTCAACTTTTCCATCTGCAAAATGTGTATAATACCTAATTGGCATAATACTGTTACAGAGAATTAAGATGACACATAAAAAGTTCTTGATGCTTTTATTATATTTTGATTATCATTTATTAATGACAAATGATATTTATCTTACTATGCTGGAAGAGAGGTGGTTCAAAAACCTCCCAGAAGAGTTAAGGAAATTAACCAGACTCTGAAACAAAAAGAAGCTAATTGCATAACTATTTAGCTATTACTTCATGAAAATATTCACAGTTAAGCTCATAAGGAGTTTTGAACAAGATGATTTAACAATTGAAAAGAGAAATGAGGTATACTATGAGAATTGGCACTACAATTCCATAATCACTAATTTACTACAAAGAAGCCTAAATGTATGATTCTAATCAATCCAAGCTTCAAAATGAGATTCTCTTTGACACCACTTCAACACAAACTAGGAACATTTTAAAGGTATCCTTGGTGTTTTTTAATGGATCTGCCTACATTAATCAGTATACAGTTTCAATGTCTCTCATCTCATGGCTATGGTTTAAAATAAGACTTCGTGGTGCTTTTTATCAATGGTACCGACTGCCAGAATTAATTTCCCTGCTTGATTCTAAGTTAGGCTTCACACAAGTGAATTCTGCATCAGATCTGAAATGTAGAAAGGAAGCAGCAACTCTGAGAAATGCCAAGATGGCAGAATAGGGAAAAGATGTACTGCTGTAGGCTAGGGGAAAACAGTATAAAAAAAGAAAAAGTGGAGAAAGTATATTTTCAGGGGAGAGTTAGAGAGAAAACTGCAGATCTGTATGGAAGGAGCAGACCGGCAGCAAAAAGCATGGACACAACACATGACCCCAGCAGCTAATAGCCAAAGTATCAGCTTTGGAGAGCAAGGTGAGATCAGACTGCAGCCGACCATGCTACTGGTGATACAGCCAGAGGGAGAGCCTGGGGAACTACACTGTCTTAGAGTCAAGCCTGGAGCCCTGAGGGGATCAGGTGACTGCTAATCAGATCACAAATTCCTGGGGAAGAAAAAAAAAAAAAAAACATATGTTTCTCTCTAACCATTCCCCCAACAACAGCACCCGGAAACCAGCTTAGAGAGGGCAGGTACCATTTTGGACATAAGTAGCAGATCCAGCAGCTCTTACGCACACGCCCAGCAACTGGCAGGGACAAGACACCATCCTGAAAGCAGTATCAGTGGTAGCAGCTGAAGTGTGTGCATCCAGCAACTAGAGGAGAGAAGGAGCCATTCTAAATACCAGCTGCAGAGGCTTTTGAGTAAGCCCTGCAACCAGCGGGCAGAAGGCATCCTCCGCCTGCAGTGCTGGCATCCCATATGGGCGCCGGGTTCTAGTCCCGGCTGCTCCTCTTCCAGTCCAGCTTTCTGCTGTGGCCCGGGAAGGCAGTGGAGGATGGCCCAGGTCCTTGGGCCCTGCACCCGCATGGGAGACCAGGAGGAAGCACCTGGCTCCTGGCTTCGGATTGGCGCAGCACGCCGGCCGTAGCGGCCGTTTGGGGGTGAACCAACGGAAAAGGAAGACCTTTCTCTCTGTCTCTCTCACTGTCTAACTCTGCCTGTCAAAAAAACAAACAAACAAACAAACAAAAACGAAAACAAGTAGGGGCAGCAGCTGGCAGCCCTTGTACACATGCATGATGCAGGGATTTTACAAGAGGGAAAAACCCACGTTCCCCACTGACTTTGAGTCTGGTTGGGAGGACTAATGGCTGAGCACATACATAAGACTACAAGGTGCCCCCAGCCTCAAAACATATACAGGCTCTGGGGTTCAAACCACCTAGGCAGAGCACCCATAGGCAGCGGGCTCTGAGAACATCTCAGCCTCTCTGTGGACAGGATAGGCTAATGGGGCAAAGTGGGACTTCTGTACTCCATGACTGTGGGAGCCCAATGTGCTGAGTCTGTGGGAACTCTGTGACTGCACTAGAGGGCACAGGATGTAGCTGAGTCTCTGGGAAATCACTGTGTACCTCCACACGTTCAGAGCTCCCTGACTGCCTGGGGTGGGTAACTACAGCCAGATATGTGCTCACACCGAGGACTGCACATATCTTTTGTGCAATTTATGTGGCAGCACAGGCAAGTACCATAGACACTATGGGCTGACACCTGAGCACTGATCACCTTAGAAGAGAGGAGGTGAGGGTGTGATTATGCCAACAGATGATCGTGATCTTACCGTCCTTTCCGTTAATAAGAGATCTACCATACTCAAATTGGGTGTCACTCTGGATACTCCCCACACTATAGCAGGAACCAGAACCCCCTGGCCATCCCAGCACACACCTCTAGGTATTCACTGAAACGGCAGACATTCCAACAAAGCATAGTTGAAAGATAAAAGCCATCAGAGGAAAAAAACAGTAAGTATCTTAATAAATGTCTAAAAATAAGTGCAGAATTTCAAGAAAAAAAAAGGAAGAAAACATGACCCCCCCAACACACAAAGGAATACAATACTTCAGTATTAGAATTTGAAGATAAAGAGATTGATGAAATGCCTGAAATGCACTTCAAAGACTAATCAGATTAGTCAGATTACTCAGAAGCAATGAGAAACAAATTCATGAGTTAAAGAAATCCATACTATGCCGGGGCAGGCGCTGTGGTGCAGCGGGTTGAAGCCCTGGCTGGAAGCGCCGGTAACCCAAATGGGCGCTGGTTCTAGTCCCAGCTGCTCCTCTTCCGATCCAGCTCTCCTTTGTGCCCTGGGAAAGCAGTAGAAGATGGCCCAAGTCCTTGAGCCCCTGCACCCACGTGGGAGGCCCGGAGGAGGTTCCTGGCTCCTGGCTTCAGATAGGCGCAGCTCCGGCCATTGCGGCCATCTGGGGAGTGAACCAGCAGATGGAAGACCTCTCTTTCTGTCTCTACCTCTCTCTGTAACTCTTTCAAATAAATAAAATAAATCTTAAAAAAAAAAAAAAAAAGGAAAGAAATCTATACATGCCATGAATGAAAAACTTTCCCATGAAATTGAGATTTTGAAATCAAAATGAGGGGCCAGTTCTAATCCAGCTGTTCTTCTGATCCAGCTCTCTGCTATGCCCAGGGAAAGCAACAGAAGACTGCTTAAGCACTTCGGCCCATGCTCCCGCGTGGGAGACCAAGAAGAAACTCCTGGCTCCTGGCTTCAGTTCGGCCCAGCTCTGGTGGTTGTGGCCATTTGGGAAATAAACCAGTGATGGGAGACCTTTCTCTCTGTCTCTCCCTCTTGTCTGTAAATCTACCTCTCAAGTAAATAAATAAAATCTTTTAAAAAATCAAAATGAAATATTATAAATGAAGAATTCAATATGTCAACTAAAAAGTACACTGGACCCCATGGAAGACCAGGATAAGTACCTGGCTTCTGCCATCGGATCAGCGCAGTGCGCCGGCCACAGCGCGCCGGCCACGGCAGCCATTGGGGGGTGAACCAACAGCAAAGGAAGACCTTTCTCTCTGTCTCTCTCTCTCACTGTCCACTCTGCCTGTCAAAAAAATAAATAAATAAATAAAAATAAAAATAAAAATAAAAAATAAAAAAAAAAAAGTAAAAAAAGTACACTGGAAAGCCTTAACAACAGACTTGGTGAGGAAAAGGAAAGAATGCCCAAAGACAAATCTTTGAACTTTCTCAGACCAAAAAAAAAAAAAAAAAAAAAGAGAAATTAGAAAAATTAAAAACAGTGTGGAAATTTATGGGATACTATCAAAGAACCCAACGTACAGGTCATAGGAGTTTCCACAGGTATGAAAAAAGAGAATGGTACAGAAAGACAGAAGTGAAATAATTACAGAAAATTCACTAATTTGGAGAAATAAAGGAACAAGTAAGTACACAAGACACATAGAACTCCTTACAGACATGACCAGAAAAGATGTTCACCATGACACCTTGTAGTCAAACTTTCAACAATAAAACCTAAAGAAAATATTCTAAAACGTGCATGAGGGGCCGACACTGTGGAGTAGCAGGTAAAGCTGCCGCCTGCAGTGCCGGCATCCCATATGGGCACCAGTACAAGTCCCGGCTGCTCCACTTCTGATCCAGCGCTCTGCAATGGCCTGAGAAAGCAGTAGAAGATGGCCCAAGTCCTTGGGCCCCTGTACCCATGTGGGAGACCCAGAAGAAGCTCCTGGCTTCGGATCAGCACAGTTCTGTACGTTGTGGCCAGCTGGGGAGTGAACCAGCAGATGGAAGACCTCTCTCTCAGCATCTCATTCTCTCTCTGCATAACTCTACTTTCAAATAAATAAATAAATCTTTAAAAAAAAAAAAGTGCATGCACGAAATACCAGATTACTTTCAGAGGATCTCCAGTTAGATTCACAAAAGAAACCCTACAGGTTAAGAGAGAATGGAGAGACACAGTCCAAGTAGAAAAGAAAAAAACTGTCAACCCAGAACACTATACCCTGCAAAGTTCTCATCTATGAATGAATGTGAAATAAAGGCCTCCCATAAGAAACAGAAATGGAAAGAATTTGCCACTACTTGTCCAGCCTTACAAAAGATGCTTAAGGATGTGCTACACACAGAAGCACAGAAACACAGTTATTGTGAAGGAATGTGAAAGCAGAAAATCTCCCAGTAAGAGTACAAAGGAAATCCAAAGCAAACAATAGGAATATTTACAGAAAAATGCCAGGGCCAAGTTATTACTTATCAATAATAACCTTGAATGTAAACAGACAAATTCTCCAATTGAAAGATACAAGCTGGCTGAATGGATTAAAACAAGACTCAAGTAGTTCTTATCCACAATAAACACATCTCACCAA